GACCAACTCAACTGTTGAGGCTGCGCAAGACATTTTACTTCCTGTTGAAGAGGCTCACCCTCCACTTACTTTTGTAGTCAACAAATGCATGGATAGTACCTGCAATGTTTCTGGTTTCGTCCCGGACTTCAGGCGGTGTGATGTTGAGGCTATCTACATTGAACTCAATAGAGAGCTTGGAACCACTTACTACAGTATTATTGATGTAAACAGCTTCTTTGACTCATTTGTCTCCACTATTCGTGAAATCATCCTGAGGCATACAACTATGAAGAGATTTGGTCCATCAAAATTTCCTTGCTGGTTCGATAGCCAATTGAAACAGCTCACAATCATGAAGAAGGCCATGCATTCCAAATTTAAAGCTTCTCAATCACTGCGTGACTACGAAGAGTTTTCCCGTGTTCGTCGCCTTTGTAAGACCTTAAGCAGAGATTGCTATGCACAATACATTAATCGAGTTAATAACTCTATTCCACTTAACATAAGGTCTTTTTTTGGCTTTGTAAACAGCCTTAAATCAAATAGTAGCAGCTTCGATTGTTTCAACTACCACGGTGAGAAGGCCGAACGTCCTGAAGATATTTCCAACCTTTTTGGAGTTTACTTTTCATCAGTTTACCAGCAGTCAGCAGTGACTCCTCCAGTTGACGATTTCAAAACTCACCTGAATTTGAACTCCTGCAGACTAAGTTGTAATGACGTTCAAAAGAAGCTGGCATCTCTCGATCCTTACAAGGGAACGGGGCCCGACCTAATACCTCCATCTGTACTGAAGTACTGTAATATGCTACTGGCTCCTCAATTGACACACATCTTCAATCTTTTACTTCAAGAAGGAATCTTTCCGGATACATTAAAAACCAGCTTTGTTGTTCCCATTCCCAAAGTCCAAAACTCTTCCGATGTAAGTGACTTCAGGCCGATTGTCATTCAACCCACCTTGGGGAAGGTATTTGAGAGTCTCGTTTTAGACCAAATAAAGCCCCTTTTTGACAACCTCCTCTCAACTCACCAGCATGGGTTCTCGACTGGCAGGTCAACCTCGTCCAACCTAGTAATCTACCAGAATTTCCTAGTTTCCAATGTGTCGATGGGACTTCAGGTCGACAGCATTTACTTGGATTTCCAGAAGGCTTTTGATCGTGTTAACCACCAGATACTACTTTCCAAATTGGCTGGTTATGGAGTCACTGGACAACTCTTGAAATGGTTCCGCTCATACTTGGATAACCGGGAACTTATTGTAAAGTTTCAACAATCAATTTCTAAACCCTTCACTGCAACATCTGGCGTCCCTCAAGGCTCACATATGGGTCCATTTCTGTTCTCATTATATCTTAATGACATCATAGAACTCATGGATGTGGATAAACTGTTATTTGCTGATGATATTAAGATTTTTACGGCCATTTCTTCCATTGAAGATTGTACAACACTCCAGAACTGCCTCAGGAGGATATGCGACTGGTGTGTCTCAAACGATATGAGTCTCAACATCAAGAAATGTACTGCAATCACCTTTAGCCGTAGCAAGAGACCTATTATCTTCAACTATACCATCGATGGCAGTGATATTTCCAGGAGGACCTCAGTTCGTGACCTCGGGGTGGTGTTCTCATCAAACCTCACATTTCTTGACCACATGGAGTTGGTTTGTGGCAAGGCGTCAAGGGCACTGGGCTTCATTATTCGCACCTCTAGACATGGTCTCAGCATCACAGCGCTGAGGTATCTCTTCATCTGCCTTGTTCGCTCAGTACTTGAATATTGCAGCATTGTGTGGGCTCCCTATGCAATTGGACAAATCGACCGCCTACAGAAAATCCAAAGAAGGTTTCTTCGAGTTGTTGGACTCAAGATGGGTTACAACTATGCAACAATTCCCATCAGCGACATCGAAATTCAATTGGGACTACAATCTTTACATTTGAGAAGAGAATTAGCTGATGTTTCTCTTCTCGTAAATCTTTTAAATGGTGATGTTGTATGCCCTGAGCTACTTGGTCGGATCAACTTTCGAGTTCCAGGAGAAACTCGCTCAAGGAACCTCTTCGCTATTCAAGCCTACGCCAACAACTATGAGCACAACAGTGTGATCCCCCGTCTCCATAGGATTGGGAACCTCCTGTCCCCGCACGTTGACCTTTGGAACACCTCAGTTGTGACCGCCAAAAAAATCTACATAAATCTGAAAGGACACCATCGTTAACTGTATTCACTGCCTGTATTATTGTCCGTATTTATTTATTGCATGTTATTGTCTGAATTCTATTGAGCGTTTTTTATTGCCTGTTATTCTATTGCCTCTGTATTTATTGCCTGTTGTTCTATTGCTTCTGCATTTTTATTGTCTGTTATTTTTTGTATGTATTTATTGCCTGTTATTGCTTGCTGTATTATAGCTTGTACTATAGTCTATTAGTTATAACCTGTCATTATAGCCTTTCATTACCTGTTATTGCTTGCCGTATTTATATAGCTTGTATTTATAGCCTGTTATTTTTAGTCTTTCATTGCCTGTTATTGATTGTTTTTTTTTTTTGTTGTTGTCTGCATTGCCTGTTATTATTGTCTGTTGTTTTCATTGAATATCATACTTACCCAAAGATTTTTCAAGTTCAGTTTTGTTTGATATAATTGCATTAGTAATGTAGTGTCGTTGTTAATTATGCCATCTTGTAATTGATTATGCTAACTACTATTGTATAAATGGTGTTACCGTGAATAAATAAATAAATAAATAAATAAAGGCAGCCTGGGAGTGGCGAGCAACAAGTCTGTCTTATTTCGTGACTCTGCCTATAATTTTGAAACAATATACTTTTCGCCAAAGTATTATTAATGCACTTAAAGCTGTTTGAATTCTTAAGCCCTGTAAAAATTAACGCCACCTAATATATTGTACAGTTACAGTACTGTGTTGGAGTAGAGTAATTCACCGAGTAGGCCTATATTGTTGTGAGTGAAAATTTAAAAACGTACGTTTTCAGGAAAAACACTTTGCAAATTTTTTTCCCCTTTTTTCAAAACTTTTATTATTTTTTTTATTTCATTAACATTTGAAGTTTCATAAAATGTCCATGGTAACGCAATATCTTTGGTAGTTTTTTTTTAAAAGAGCATCTTTAGTGGAAAAACACAAAATCCTGTCACGACCATAACAGACGTTTAAATGAATATTAAAAATAGTTAATATTATTTTTATAACTATGTTTTGCTATAAACTAATTTACTTTTATGACCATTATACATTAAAAAGGTCACTGAGCTTTTAGTATATTTGGTATTTCTAAAAAAAAATTAAAAAAACTCAAAAAAATTGAAAAAAGCCAATAAAATCTTTTTAAGTTTGTATAACTCCGAAAAAACTTACCAAGACCCGAAAAATCTTTATGTTTGCATAGAGGCGTGCTTCTTTTGTGTATAAAACATTGAAATATGACGATATTTTAATTTTTGAAATTTTTATGATAAAAATCATAAACGTGATGGTCAGGGACAAGCGGTACGGTCGTGAATTTTCTAAAAAAATCTAAATCTTTCTAAACAATCCTTTAATTATACTGTTAGTTATAATAAAAATATGTGATTTAATTGAACTAAACTGTTCAAATTACAATTATATTAAAGTTATTGTCACGACCAAACATACTATAATCCATAAGGCTGGATAGGTCGTGAAAAAACCCGCGATGGTCGTGAAATTACGTGTTATTTGGCTCTGTTCTGGCGGTAGCTCTGCACCTCATGTTCGAGGATACAAAGTGGACTTCTAGGTTAATCTAGCAATTGAAATATCTTATAAACAAAAATTAACACCATGTCTACTTCATCGAATGACTATGTACGGTCATGGACACACCAAAATTACAAAAAACACAACCTTTCCTGTATTAATCTTGTAATTCCTCCTTTCAACTCGAAACGACCGGCACTACAATCCTGACGTACACCCCGAACTAGTCTCTAAAACCAACTGACTCCATCAACGCCAGGCTTGCCACTGTCGTGCTCCAAAGTTGAAAATTTTTCCCAAATGGTCGTGACGCCAAATCGAGGGACAGACTTATTATGTCATGGTAGTCAGTTTGCAATGACAATAAAATTATAATATGCTCCTTTTTTGTAAGTTTAATAACCATTGATGGCATAAAAATATGGCTTTATATATTTCGGCATGAGTAATTAGTCTAAAAACAGCGTGAAAGTTGGAAAATGTACCCTAGGGACACGTCATGGTCGTGAATTTTGAGACTTTAAAAATACGAAAAAAATACCTAGAACCTATTTAAAACCAAATAAATGTGTGTAACATGTTGCCCCCATCCCAAAAAATATTAAAACACATAATAATAAACTACAAATCCAGTAGCTACGAAGTAAAAGGCCAGGGACATGAAAACGTAAGTTTTTAAATTTTCACTCTTGTACGTTTTGAAGACGTTGTCTATTGCAATACTGAGCACACATATTGGCTGACAATACAAATTCTGAATTGTAAATTGAAAAACTTCTAATTCGTCCATTAGTTAGATTTATATTGATGTATTGTTAAATGACGTTTCATATTAAACATTTAATTTTGATTATCAGCAAGTTTGTTTTTCGTACCTCAAGTTTACTAAATACTTTAAATGCTTGTTTTATGAGGTAAAGGGAAAATTGTCAGATAAATTGGTGAGGGGAGGGTAGGTTTAAATAGACGGCAGCATGAATTGTGGGGGGGACTACTCCTTTGGCTTGGGGGGGGGGGGGGGAGGATTGCGCCTCTGGGTTAGGGGGGGATGGGCACCTCTGGTAGTTTGTTATGCCAGGATTGACTCTTTCTAATCCAGGCAACCTAGCTATTGTACACACCACAAACAATAAACTTTAAAGAAGTACTCAGTTTTAGGTTGTAAATTACAGTTTCTAAGTCATTAAACATTGTACTACCACATTACACATTTCTTTTAAATGGGTTTGTATGTACTGTATTATGTGGTCATTTGTTGCAGGTGGTGTCTTATTATTCTTGATATTGTTGATCATCATTATCATCATTGCAGTGTCAGGTCCCCGAACTCTAACGTCTTCTCCAATCATCGATGGACGATATGTGAGAGCAGTCACATCCTGCGGCCCTGTTGAAGGGTTAGTTTTAACTACCATTTTGTAATCTATAATATTAAAACGAAACAGTGTTTTTTTATTTCACGATTCTGAATCAACCACTCGACGGATTTTCATGATTTTTGTGTTGAAAGAAAGATAATTTTAAAAACTAGGGAATGTCGAAGCCATAATTTTAGTTTAGGTTCCCAGTTTTTTAGGAATTAAGTTTTAATTTTTAAAAAGTCTAGCAGCCGACGCTAAGATTCTAAACTAGCTTTTGGCATAAAATAATTTGCTTAACATAACAGCTGTAAACATTCAGCTTTTGTGTCACAAATTCAGCATTTGGATAAAAATGTTAAGTCATACTTAGGGTTGACTTATTTATACTATGTGTAATGCTAATCATTGATATGTTTAATTCTTCTGTAAGAGGATGACAGATGAATTAAATATACATAGTAAAATACTAGGATGTTCAAATTATTTTTTAAAGCAATCTTTGTAATCTTCGATTTGTTTTAGAGCAATATAATTTGTTTTAACTAACAGCTGGTTAAATATAAAAATGCTCTGTAGAACTATGAGGTTATTTTATTTACTCTGATTTGTCATTGATTTTTAAGAAATGAGTAAGATTAGTAGACCACCGAGAAAAGTAACACCATCGATGTTTACAAGTCGAGGTGTGGAACGAGTCTTAAAAAAAGGATATGCAAATTATTATACTGCTCAACTTTTTTAGGAAAGAGTAGGAAAATTCATTTTTACACGTTTTAATTCATATTGGTTTGTTTACAATCAATGTTTTTGAATGATTAAACTTTGTTTGGATTAGGCCCGGAAATATTGATGTCATAAAGAAGGAGATCAAGAATCCTCAGGAATACAATTTTAAATTACCACCAAAACCCAGACGGGTTTCATCCAAAGATATACAGATATAAATGACATAGATTGAGCACAACGTCATCACCTAGGACACTGCAATTAGACTATAACCATCCTTTTCTGAAATCTAAAAAGTTGTTTAGCGTGTGGTTAGTTGTAGTTACTGTTGTATTAAGTATGTTCTTTTAGTCATATGATTTATTTGTGTTTAAATATCTTTTGTTGACAGATGATTTTTGTAAACATGTTTTTGTAAACATTGGTTTAGTTGGAAATAGAGTTTGTTGAAACAAGATGTGTGTTTAATATTGTTGTATTGGAAATAGAACATGGTGGCAGCTTAGTGGATTTTTATCGAACTGAAAGTCTAAAACCACGCATAATGTCAAGTAAGGGCAGAAAAAAACGAAATACTCGGAGGCAAAGGTATGAGGATAACGGTGAGGACGACGCCCAAAGTGAACTCAACTACGTTTCAGAAAGGGACTCTAGAAAGACTAAAGATGAGTCACGAGGTTTTGCATTGGGACATACGAACCGAGAAAATGATGCAGTTATGTATACTCCTACTCCGATGGTCAATATCACGTTACCAACTCCAGAAACGTTCTCTTTTATTCCGAATGAATGGCATTCCTGGAGGAATCACTTTCAAAGGTACAGACGGGGTTGCGGTCTGGATAGCACTTCCGACGCTCGGCAAATCGATGTACTTTTGTTTGTAATGGGTAGTAGAAGTGAAGATATTTTCGATTCGTTTTCACCAAAACCTAATACTTATGACTAGGCTCTTAGGGCCTTTGATGAATACTTTGTGCCAAGACGGAATATAATTTATGAGAGATCAAAATTTTTGAGACACAAGCAAGGGAGTGATCCATCTGAAAAATTTATAACAGATTTGCATGGCCTTGCGAAAACGTGTGCATGGGGTGAACTAAATGATGAGATGATGCTTCTCGTCCTCATTATTGGTATGCAAGATGAGGGTCTGAGTGATAGACTCCAGCTGGAATCTCAATTGACTCTGGAGAAAGCAATTAATACCTTGCGCCAACATGAGGAGCTAGAACGCCAAAAACATGAACTTGCCAATACTAATGTTTTTTTGGTAAATAAAACGTCAGTTCAAAACGGTAAACCGAATCGGACAGAAGGAGTTTGTGACCAGAAATACATCGAGGATGCAGAAAATACAAAGAAGTGCAGGAAATGTGGTTATGATTGGCACGGATCACTGGCCGAATGTCCTGCTAGGAAAGCCAAATGTGACAAATGTTCCGAGATTGGACATTTTTTTCGATGCTGTCCCTACCGCGAAAAGTGGATGAGAAAAAACAAAAACGTTGTTAAAGAAATCGAACAGCAAGTTTCAGACTGTGGAGATCTACAGGTTCCTGAGATTTTCATCGGGAATATAGAAAACAATGACAGAGCCTGGGCCCAGGAGGTAAAAGCAAGCTGTGGAAACCAAGTGTTAGGGCTTATAAAATTTAAACTTGACACAGCCGCTGATGTAACCATGATTCCAGTAGGAGTTCTTGGTGATTTTATTAAGACTCTGCCTCTAGGAAAGTGCAAATCCCCTGTGTACAGTGCAAAGAAGAAAGAACGAATCAATATTTTGGGAACTTTAAGGCTGAAGCTTAACCATAAGGGTGTATCGGTTTATGATTATGCGTATATTTCTGATGAGATCAATGTTCCACTTCTTAGCAGACGTTCCTGTGAAGAGCTGAACCTGGTGAAGAGGATCTTTTCTGTAGATTCATCAGATATTGACTGGGTTACTAAGTACCCTAATTTATTTCAAGGATTGGGAAATATGAAAGGAGAGTACAAGATAGAAATGAAGGAGAATGCAGTTCCTTATGCTATATCCACCCCCAGGGTTGTACCAATACCTTTAAAAACCAAGGTGAAAGGTGAAAACAGTTAGACGATATGCTTGAAAAAGGAGTGATTGTCCCAGTTGAACACGAGACTGATTGGTGCGCACCAATGGTAGTTTGCGCAAAAAAGAGAGGTGGGGTTACGATCTGCGTGGACCTATCCAAACTCAACAACAGTGTGAAACGTCAGTTTTATCCTATTCCAAAGATTGAGATTTCATTGTCCGAGATTGCGGGAGCCAAGTACTTCAGCAAGATCGATGCGAAATCCGGTTTCTGGCAACTGAACCTTGCAGAGGAGTCTCAAGATTACACAACATTTATCACCCCTTTCGGGAGGTATAAATTCTGTAAGTTACCTTTTGGAATTACATCTGCTCATGAAGAGTTTCAGCGCCGTATGTCAAAAGCTTTAGAAGGGGCAAAGAACTGTTTAGTGCACATTGATGACTGTTTGATATGGGGAAGAACGAAAGAGGAACACGACGAGTGTCTTAGAGCCGTTCTAGAGAGAGTGCAAGCTAATGGAATCACTTTGAATAAGCAGAAGTCTGAGTTCTGCAAGAAGACTGTGACATTTTTGGGGTTTGTGCTGTCTAAGGAAGGAATCAAGCCTGATCCGAGCAAGGTACAAGCAGTTGTGGACTTACCAGCCCCAAGTAATGCTAATGAAGTCCAGAGATTCATGGGCATGGTCACTTTTCTGGCTAAATTTATTCCGAACTGCAGTGAGATTTCAAAGCCAATTACAAGCTTGTTAAAGACTAAACACGATTTCTTTTGGGGACCAACTCAGGAAAAAGCTTTTGTCACAGTGAAACAGATTTTATCATCAGAGCCATGTTTAACTGTTTACGATCCGGAAAAGCCCTCGATTCTTTCTTGTGACGCTTCAAAAAAAGGTCTTGGAGCGGTTTTACTACAAGTTGAAGGAGAAAACAAGAAACCTGTGGCATATATATCTCGGACTCTAATGCCTGTTGAAGAAAACTACAGTAACATTGAGAGAGAAGCGCTTGCGTGCACTTGGGCAAGTGACCGTTTAAAATGTTTCCTGATGGGTAAAATGTACACAATTGAGAACGACCACAAACCGCTTGTCTCAATTTTCAATAGACAAAATTTGGACGAGCTCTCACCGAGACTACAGCGATTCCGAATGCGTATGATGAGATACGATTATCGCATGACCTGGACCCCAAGAAAAGACCTTGCCATAGCAGATCTGCTATCGAGATGTCCTATTCCGGCTAATGAAGATGGCGAATTGACAGAAGAAGTGGAAGCCTTCGTTCATGAAATCAGTATGTTTAGAATAAACACTACAGACGAAAATGTGACAAAAGTACTTCACTCACAAATGAGGGATCCAATATGTGCACAACTCAAGCTAAAAATTTTAGACGAATGGCCTGAAAAATCAAGTTTACCTAATGAGATTCAAGAATACTTTAACGTGAAAGACGAGTTAAGTTGTATTGATGGGTTATTGCTTCGAGGAACTCGGATGATAATACCTCATGAACTACGAGCGGAAATGCTTAAGAGGCTTCACAGTGGACACTTGGGAATCACAAAAACAAGGAAACGTGCTTTGGAAACCATGTGGTGGCCTGGAATTTCTCAAGAAATAGAAAGAAAAAGCAAATCGTGTCCAGTGTGTATTCAGAACTCAACTAATCACAGTGAACCATTGATTCCAGAACTTATGTTTGGAGGGAAAATAAGAGACAATCTTCCATCTACTTTGGTTGGAAATCCTGTGGAAAATAAAGACTTTTTTGAGAGGGAGAATAAGTACCAGTCGAAGTATAAGATGCAATTTGATAAACGACATGGAACGAGGGGTTTAAGTGAATTAGAAGAGGGAAGCATGGTATGGATCACAGATCTACGTAGACATGGTAAAGTAGTCAGGAAATTGAACGAACCACGTTCCTACCTTGTGGACATTGACAAGAAAACCATTCGACGAAACCAGAAGTTCTTAGTTCCTGCACCATACTACGGAGAAGATTGCATTCTTTCAAACTGTTCATCTACGGTCCTTAATTGTCCATCTAACTCACGTGATTGTCCAGACGCTGGCACAGTTACCCATTACGGAAGGTCCATCAAGATACCGAGGCGGTACCGAGCTTCATGAAGATGTAGACATCTTGAGGCGGGATGTTGTATTAAGTATGTTCTTTTAGTCATACGATTTATTTGTGTTTAAATATCTTTTGTTGACAGATGATTTTTGTAAACATGTTTTTGTAAACATTGGTTTAGTTGGAAATAGAGTTTGTTGAAACAAGATGTGTGTTTAATATTGTTGTATTAGAAATAGAACAGTTACGTTTGGAGGCGCTGAATATTTTATAGTTTAAATAAATTAATATGGGGAATTACGGTGTACATTGATTCAATGAGGGTTGTTTATTTATTAAGGATATTAGAACTGATAATGGAATGGATAATAAACATAGACAATTAATTACGTCACTAGCTTTACTAGCGTGTTTTACGTTTTAAATTCCTTCAACATGTGACCAGTTATTTTGATCAAATGAATATTATTTTATTTTTGACTCAGCTGTTTACCAAAACAAACTGTATAATGTTGTTTTTACTTTTCTTTGTTTACACTTATTTGAAATGAAATGAAATGAAATGAAATAATATTTTATTTCCCATTAATTATTTACAGACAAATACATTGTATTTTTTTCTTTACTTAAATATGAAACAGCAAAATATTACTAACTAGATAACAAAACAAAAAATATATACTGTAGAAATAAGTAAATAAAAGTGTTAAAAAAAATACATTCTATAAGAAAGGAAAAAGTCTACATAGGCAGGGCCTGTGCGTAGACTCGAGTTGCGAAAAGATTAATTTAAATGGGAAGTAAAAAATATGTTGGAGAAAAAAAAATCGTATAATTTAAACTTTTTTTTTTTATTTGTCTTGCTTGACAATTTTATTAATCCATTTATTTAGCAATTATTGATGTAGTGAAATTGATATAAAGGATATGTGTGGATGATTCTTTTTAATGATGTCAGGACACCAACGTTATAATTATGTGTACTGTGAGTTTTATTGGATGTTTTCGTTTTATTTTAGGGGGTTTCTATTCAGACCTACCAGAAAATGTGTATAGTATAAGTAATTGTATTGTGTTGATATTGATTATGGAAGAGGCAGGTATGCATTGACTAGGCCTATACACTTTCTCAATTGATAATTACTCTTTCTACTGTAGGCTGCTATAGAATTTGTCTTTATACGTGTAAGCTAGCTGTTCTGATTTATACGCAGTTTTAACTGACTACTCCCGTACGTAGGACGGGCTAACACCTCGTATTTATTCAATTTCTAAAAAACATATGTTTTAGTCAATTAGAGGTGCAATTAATTAAGGTAGGCCCCTAACTAACAGTGCTTTTAAGAATATGAAGATTTTTAATGATTTGTGAAAGTAAAATCCAAAATAGTACAGTATAGTGTAAAAGAATCAATTGCACTCATGTTACTTTCTAAGGGCTGCCTAATTGAAATAAAAATACCAATAAAACAGAGTGATTTTAATTAGTAGATCGGCAAACTGCATTATGAGCTGTCCTAATAGTCCTATGTTCTATGTAATTTCCGCCAGCAACAAGTTTTCAAAAGTTAGTTGCCTGATAGTAATGCATAATGTATAATATTTTTTCTATGTTTTAATCCATTGACACAATGGAAACAAATAAAAGGGTTCACCTCCAAAAATATTTCATCAAACAAATCAAATTTTACAAGACTTAATGATACATTTGATTATTAAAATAGTAGCTCTTGTCTTAAATGGGCAACTGAAATGGAGATTTTAATTACACTACCTGTCACGTTCCAGATTGCTGGAAGACGGAGCCATTGTGTTCCGAGGTATCCCGTACGCCAGGCCACCGGTGGGTGAGAGACGATGGCGAGCACCTGAGAAGTTCACTCTGGAGTCTTGTTGGAACGGAACCCTCAAGACTCACAACTCCTCCGACACTTGCTGGCAGGTCTACAACAATGGAACTATCAACGGACGAGAAGACTGTCTCACTCTAGACATAGTCACTCCTCAAGTCCGATACATCAACCCCTTGCCTGTACGCATAGAAGTTTTGTAGTTTTATATTTTGACAAAAAAGAAAATTATCTTTTCTGTATAACAAAACACAAATCCAGCCCCAAGTGGTGTGAGTTAGAAGTCATGAGTTTTTGGTTTCTTCATTTGATATTGTACAGTAATTAATTGGAAGGTCAGCGAATAAGGCCAAGTAATACGTTTTCCACCATTCTATGTTTAAAGTAGTCATTCTTTATTACAGCTGATGACAAAGAAAATTATGTTTTCTTAGCTTAAGTAAGGGAAGGCTTTCAGCTGGAGCTGATTCCCTTAGGATTTCTTGCTACCAATTATTACAATTCAGCAGGTTTTCAACTTGGCACAACTATCGCGGTACTTTCCTGTTAAAGGGAACATTCATTATTATCAATCTGATTTCTTTCGATATATCAATATTTTTGTTTTCCTTTACGGTGGTTACCTTCTGTTTTTATTATAATACCGTCAAACACATTTAAATTACAAATTGACAACTGATCTTGTTTAGGCAAAACATAAATAAGTAAAACTGTCCTAAACTAACCTAACATAACCAACCAAACTTGCTGGGTTTGCTGTATCATTTCAAAATTTCGTTTGATAACAGAAAAGGCATGTGAGTAATATAAAAACGAAATTTGGAAATTTTACAGCAAGTTTGGTTGGTTAGGTAAGGTTAGTTTAGAACATTTTCATTTCAATATAATATTTTTAAATTGTTTGTTGATACTGAACAATATTTACTTATTGTAGTTGTCAGCTGACATCTCGTTCATTATCGGATCAAAAATAGAATATCGATGTATCGGAAAGAAATCATTGATAATAATGAATGTTCCCTTTAACAGGAAAGTACCTACCCAACTATCTTACAGATGGATTAAAGTGTTAACATCTAACGCTATAGATTATAAGAAAATAGTATACATATTAAACACAATATAAATCATTATATCAGTTTGAATTTGGTATCAAGCAATTATAAAAATATTTCGGGATATTTATGAATTTTCGATGACTTTTTGACCAAAAAGATTAGTCTCATTACAATGAACATCATCATCATCCACAGTAAATTTCAGTACAAATTGTAAAGAAAAATAAATGTTCTTTACTCTATTAAAAATATATCTTCTTCTTTACTTAACTGATCATTCCATCAACCAAAATCACCTCACACCTATATGTAATACAATTTAGGTATTCCATACAGGTGTGAGTATAACAAAAAGTTGCCCCCTGGTGGGGTTTTAATGAATTTAATTTACACTTTTAATTGAACTACTGAGGACATTACAATCACAGAGCTGCGCAGTGGAAATAAAGATGTTAAGTGTGGGCCCTGTAATTAAATATCCCAGAAGTCCGATTTATGGACCGTGAGAGGTCTGATATGTTGTCCTCCTTCACACCTTCTTCAGCTTAATTCTAACACTTCTTAAAACTAATAGATGTGTCTATTTGATCACTCCATGAAATAAAATGTGCTGTTCTGATGAAAGATCGTGATATGAATTGATACTCTGTAAAACTGTAAAATTGCAAATAATAATATTGAAATATTGATTGAAAATATTTGTGAAACTGTTTGTTCAGGAAATATTTATCAAAAGTATGACTTCAAGATGTTTATATATACTGGATTCGGTTAAGCCGATTACTCATGAATTCACCAATTTAATATTAAATATTATGAACTGAGCTTATAAAAATTGCACTGTCAAAATATATTTACAAAATGTGATCATCAACACTCATTGTGAATACTTTGTATACCTCTTTCAGTTAAGCCATTTACCTCTTTACTTTACCAGTTTTATACTAATGATACTAACAGCTGAAACACAGGATAATGAAAAGATGGTGATTTGTAAAAATACTGTATAATGAGTCGGATTGAGCTGTGATACAAGTAACAAATATAAACAGTGTAATAACCTTTTTTGTGCACAATTTAACAATATTTTGAAAGGGAGAGTGAGAGAGTTGATTGTAAGATTGAATGTTCAAATTGGCGGTTTGTTCATTTTTTAAAACTGCAAAGTCTCGGGAAAACCTAGCCTCGATGATTTTATTTATTTGTTTTGGATCACCAGACTCCCCAAAGATGTTCGTAATTATCAAACTGGCCAGTTTACAATTTAATCAAACAGGGACTATTATGTAGGTTTGTGATCTGCATCACTCCTTGCTGATCAGTGCAACGGGGCCAATCGACTGCTGAGTCGATTATTTGATAATTTTTTATTTAATATTTAATATTTATGAATTTAATGGGAGTCTATCCTCATGACCCTTTTATCAACCCTAGCCTTCGACCGAGCACTCTGTTACCCCCATTTACGTTACACAATCAAACTCTCACTATTTAAAAATGTAATACTGTTCAAAATTATTCTACACATGAAATACAAACGTTTTAAATAATAATACTGATGATGATAGAATCTGAATTTACATAGAATACAAAAATAATAATATCACAGATAAACATTGCTCTTTAAATTAATATACCATTTCAATTCAATAAATAATTTTCATTTGACTAGGTTCACTATTATAACTTAAATTCTTTGTACGACATGACCAAATTTAATAAAACATTTTATCCTGAATCGTGACCATGTGCTCTAAGTAGACCAAATGAAACATGAAAATCTCAGACCAAACAAAACATGATTCATAACTTGTAAAACGAGTGGTACATGTGAAAAAATGTGGCAGATTGGCAAGACTATTTTAATACTAAAACACAAATAACACAATACATTTACTTACGTACACATGTCGACACATTAACATTCATTCCGACGAAGATTCACGCGTACCGAACATTTAAAAACTGACTCGTGGTAATTTGTGACTTTTTGTCTGACCGAGCGGAATATCACGACACGGTTTTTTCTGGTGTAGGACTTATTAATTCTTGTTTTTTCGAGCTGGCGTTTAATGATTCAATTGAAAATACCGTCACGACGACCCGCGATTCGCTAGAAACTGACATTTGCTATCGATATGATGCATGTACGAATTTTCATCACGAACGCGAACAATCAATCCGGCATCTCAACTGTCTCGACTTAATACTAATAAAACACACCCCCAAATGCAATTCGGCGAAATTTTGACAATTGCGATCGTTTGATGCACGTACAATTTCCGCCCGAACGCTAATTTCCGAGCTACGAATTAAGATATTAATAAATTCGTCCTACACCAGCGACAAGACGCGACTTCACATGTTGACTACGCGATTACTGAGCCACGAGTGACGAGACGATTGCACACGGCACGGCTCCCAACGGTCTTCCAGTTCGTATCCTTCCGCGTTACGTCATGTTGGACTGACTTGTCCATTGCCTGTCGCGGATTTTAAATCTTTTGATTTGAAAATCGGCACAGAAATCTCCCCTGCCAAAAAAATTGGCCCGAGCGACCTTCAGGTCCGCACGAAGGCCTTTTCCATCCCGGGACAATTTCGACCCGGCGCGACGACGCTTGACGTGGCAACAGACGCTTCATTCATACGACACATTTTTTTGTTGATTTTTTTTTCCATTGATTTACATTTAATACATTTAACACGAAACAATTTTACACATAAACATTTGAAATTTGAATAACAAAAATAGAAATTCTGAAACTTTAACAATAATAAACATTTTGCTTTGAGGTCGGTACTGAGAAATTAAAAATTGTTGTCAACTAACACCTTGTGTCATAAACCAAAACTGCATCAATCCATCAACAATTTGAATGGTGTAAACGCGCACGCTTAACACACTGTAGAATTATCTAGCATTCAGCGTTGAGTAGATGTCAACAATCAGTTCATTGACCCGTAGCGCAGTCGACAGTCAGCTGTTGCCGATGGAGTGGGCGGGGGCGGGGGACATTGTTGTGGTGAACGGCCCGATGTCTGCCTGTCTGTGCGGGTAGGTTCTACTCTCGCCCCACCACAGCTGGAACGTGACCTCTGTTGGCCAGCCTTCATGTCGCTCACAGTGGTTACATAACATGACTCAGATGATTCATTGTTTCTCAAAATATGTAATTATGAAAATGTTTAAAACAATTGACCTCAGTTTGACTCTATTTACTCAAAATTGAAAACTATTGCACATGTAAATATAAATGTAAATATAAATATAAATAATCTCTGTACGAATATGACACAAATAAATAAACAAGTAAACAAACACAGAAATATCAATGTGGATAATTGCCTTAGAGATAACAACTGATACCCTTATCAATGCCAACCTGCCTTGGTAGTAATGCCAATCTGCTTCCTTGTTACCAGACCTCTCAAATTAGTGCTATCACTTTTTGTAAAGAAAAATAAAGGTTCTTTACTCTATTAAAAATATATCTTCTTCTTTACTTAACTGATCATTCCATCAACCAAAATCACCTCACACCTATATGTAATACAATTTAGGTATTCCATACAGGTGTGAGTATAACAAAAAGTTGCCCCCTGGTGGGGTTTTAATGAATTTAATTTACACTTTTAATTGAACTACTGAGGACATTACAATCACAGAGCTGCGCAGTGGAAATAAAGATGTTAAGTGTGGGCCCTGTAATTAAATATCCCAGAAGTCCGATTTATGGACCGTGAGAGGTCTGATATGTTGTCCTCCTTCACACCTTCTTCAGCTTAATTCTAACACTTCTTAAAACTAATAGATGTGTCTATTTGATCACTCCATGAAATAAAATGTGCTGTTCTGATGAAAGATCGTGATATGAATTGATACTCTGTAAAACTGTAAAATTGCAAATAATAATATTGAAATATTGATTGAAAATATTTGTGAAACTGTTTGTTCAGGAAATATTTATCAAAAGTATGACTTCAAGATGTTTATATATACTGGATTCGGTTAAGCCGATTACTCATGAATTCACCAATTTAATATTAAATATTATGAACTGAGCTTATAAAAATTGCACTGTCAAAATATATTTACAAAATGTGATCATCAACACTCATTGTGAATACTTTGTATACCTCTTTCAGTTAAGCCATTTACCTCTTTACTTTACCAGTTTTATACTAATGATACTAACAGCTGAAACACAGGATAATGAAAAGATGGTGATTTGTAAAAATACTGTATAATGAGTCGGATTGAGCTGTGATACAAGTAACAAATATAAACAGTGTAATAACCTTTTTTGTGCACAATTTAACAATATTTTGAAAGGGAGAGTGAGAGAGTTGATTGTAAGATTGAATGTTCAAATTGGCGGTTTGTTCATTTTTTAAAACTGCAAAGTCTCGGGAAAACCTAGCCTCGATGATTTTATTTATTTGTTTTGGATCACCAGACTCCCCAAAGATGTTCGTAATTATCAAACTGGCCAGTTTACAATTTAATCAAACAGGGACTATTATGTAGGTTTGTGATCTACATCACTCCTTGCTGATCAGTGCAACGGGGCCAATCGACTGCTGAGTCGATTATTTGATAATTTTTTATTTAATATTTAATATTTATGAATTTAATGGGAGTCTATCCTCATGACCCTTTTATCAACCCTAGCCTTCGACCGAGCACTCTGTTACCCCCATTTACGTTACACAATCAAACTCTCACTATTTAAAAATGTAATACTGTTCAAAATTATTCTACACATGAAATACAAACGTTTTAAATAATAATACTGATGATGATAGAATCTGAATTTACATAGAATACAAAAATAATAATATCACAGATAAACATTGCTCTTTAAATTAATATACCATTTCAATTCAATAAATAATTTTCATTTGACTAGGTTCACTATTATAACTTAAATTCTTTGTACGACATGACCAAATTTAATAAAACATTTTATCCTGAATCGTGACCATGTGCTCTAAGTAGACCAAATGAAACATGAAAATCTCAGACCAAACAAAACATGATTCATAACTTGTAAAACGAGTGGTACATGTGAAAAAATGTGGCAGATTGGCAAGACTATTTTAATACTAAAACACAAATAACACAATACATTTACTTACGTACACATGTCGACACATTAACATTCATTCCGACGAAGATTCACGCGTACCGAACATTTAAAAACTGACTCGTGGTAATTTGTGACTTTTTGTCTGACCGAGCGGAATATCACGACACGGTTTTTTCTGGTGTAGGACTTATTAATTCTTGTTTTTTCGAGCTGGCGTTTAATGATTCAATTGAAAATACCGTCACGACGACCCGCGATTCGCTAGAAACTGACATTTGCTATCGATATGATGCATGTACGAATTTTCATCACGAACGCGAACAATCAATCCGGCATCTCAACTGTCTCGACTTAATACTAATAAAACACACCCCCAAATGCAATTCGGCGAAATTTTGACAATTGCGATCGTTTGATGCACGTACAATTTCCGCCCGAACGCTAATTTCCGAGCTACGAATTAAGATATTAATAAATTCGTCCTACACCAGCGACAAGACGCGACTTCACATGTTGACTACGCGATTACTGAGCCACGAGTGACGAGACGATTGCACACGGCACGGCTCCCAACGGTCTTCCAGTTCGTATCCTTCCGCGTTACGTCATGTTGGACTGACTTGTCCATTGCCTGTCGCGGATTTTAAATCTTTTGATTTGAAAATCGGCACAAAATATAGTTTTGACATTGTGTCTTCATTATGACATTGTTTTCTTATATACTGGTGGGAGAGCCATAATCAATCATGATTAATTAAGCTTTTGGAGAATGTTGACATGGACACTACAGTAATGCGGAGACAACTTATTGCTAATTTACAGTAGAAAAAGATTATATTTAAAAAAAATTATAGTTTACGTCAAACTTTCCACAGGTGGTGGTTCTATTTGGTGCAGAATCTCTATCCGGAGGGTCTCCTGGGCGTCTAGATCTTCCCTCGCCTCGGCTCAGCCGTATCCGAGACGTTGTCTTTGTCAAGCCCAACTTCCGCATGGGTGTCCTCGGATACCTAGCTGCCAAGGCTCTCTCAAACTCAACGTACCCCTTCACCTCAGGTAACTACGGACTGCACGACGCTGTGGAGGCGCTGAGGTGGGTGAAGAACAACATCGTCCACTTTGCTGGAGACCCTGAAGCCATCACGGTGCTAGGACACAGAGCCGGGGCCACCATGCTGACTGCCATTGCTGCCTCGCACAAAGTTGAGGTGTGTAAATGTGTTGAGACTCTCACATGATGTTAAGATTTTACCATTAAAAGGAAGTAGTCAAGAAGACATCCCATTTCCGTGTTAAAGCTTTTAGCCAGTTTCAGCATACAAAACGTAGCTGAGTTGAGCTATGTTGGTGGTGCTGAATAGACTCTGACATTTTCAGGCATAGAAAGTGCACTGATATCAATGAAACAATACTGATTTTAAAATAAACAAGCTAATTTGAAATCAAATGACCAACCAACCATCAACAATACCCCATTTTTCTAGTTTTCATCTAATAATACAAGAGATCACTCCCTTACACTCTATTGTAGACCATAGCATCATTAATCTCACATCAGCTATTATTATAAACAAAAACTAAGGTAAAAAAATATAATTTTGACAGCATCACACTTATGAGTGGCAAATTCAATATCGACCGATTTCTATTGCAGAAGCTGTTCACCAGAGCCTGGCTAGCCAGTGGGTCTGCTAGTTTCCCAGGTATTCCTTTGGCCGAGTCTGAACAGGAATCTCTTCCCTACATCCGAGCCCTCGACTGTAACGAGAGAGACGATCAGTGTCTGCGACAGAAGGTATGGTAATGAATGATTTAACATTTAAAAATATAAGTTACTAACACACCAAGAGTTACTAATTCTAGTGAATCAATTGATTCTTATACAAATCAGATGAGAGTTCCTCACCTGATGAGGTGCTCATTTGGTAAATCTCCAACAACCTAACTATTTTAGTGGAACCTGGATGCTCAAGAAATGTGGTTCTTTGCCAAAGTGCTTGAATAATGAATAAAGGCTTCGTGCAAAGATACAATTATTGACCTTGTAAAAATGTATCCAGTGTTGTTTGTTTGTTTTTAATTGTAGATTGCCACTGTTTATATTTACAGGATGTTGAAGAGCTGATTGACAATGTACCAGATGATTGGGTGAAAGTAGACCATGACCTGCCCCGATTGGACGAGAACATCACGTCCAAACATCAGTGGTTGGTGGTGGACGGAGTTGTCATCAAGGAACACCCCTTGGAAGTGTGGAAACAAGGCAATTTGTCGGTGAAAATTGTCATGGGTAAGGGACTTTCAATTTACAGGAAAATACTTTTTGCTAGCCATTGGCTTTGAAAATACCCTGCCTGTTGGAGACTTTCTAAGGCAAAGTTAACTCGTCTAAAATTATATATTAGCTATGTAAACTCACCTTAAAATATTCATTTTAGGCTAGGCCTATTCTACAAATGTTTAAAGTTAATAAGTTAACAAAGATATGGATTACAAAATGTGTTTTATTTAAACAAATGAACAATTAACATGCAATGAGAAAAGGCTTGACGTTACAATGAAAGGATTGACAATGGTGTATGGGGTTGAAATTAAATTGAAATAAAAAAATAAATTTGAATAATAACTTAAAGGTTCAAATAATTTAGATGTGACATCTCTCAGGGTAGGGTGTCGTGCTGGCTTGAATGCTGATAATTAATAAATTTAATAGCGTCCAAATAGGCCTAATTAAAGTGTTAAATTTACACAATCTCAACAATGGAAAATCTAATTTTGGCGTTGTCCAAAAGGTAAGTCCAATTAGTACAAAATTTTAAAGAGTTTAAAGAAAAGGTTATACATAATTTTGAAGATAATGATTGAGTTGAGTCCTCTTGAGGTTTAGGCTAAAAAAAACTGTGATATAACTTGAAACTGGTCTTCTTGATGAATGAATTTGATTTAGGTAAAATTTTGAGTCCTTCTTCTAACAATTTCAACTTCTCAATGGCTTCCTTCTCTCTCAATTTCAATGTTCACATCACTGATTGTTGAACACATGGGATCACTTTCACTGCTTCTTAAATTTTGATTCCTTAAGGACTAATTTTGAAATGATATTATAAAAAATTTTGATGTATTGCAATTCTCATACATATTTAATAAATAATTAGGTTGTGGGCTTTGTAAAAAAATATAGGCTATGAATGAATATTATTAATGATTAATTGAACATATTAATGAAATTATATAAATTAGGAAATGAATATTAGGGCAGCCTTTCTGAGGAGTGATTATTAGGTGTATGAATAAAAGTTAACATTTAACTCTAGGAGTGGCGAGACCGATTTTCAGTATGTGCTTTGTGGAGTGGCACGCTCATTTTGGTGAATTTGTAAGGGAGTTCTTCAAAAATCTGTATAAAATTAGTATGTAGAGATAAACTATTGAACCGTATATTCATTTTGTTCGTAATAGTCAGTAGAATTCAAAAATGGTAATACAAACCAATTTTAGAAAGGTAGATTTTTAGAAAAAAGTAAAAAAAATAAAATTTATAAATTTATCAAATTTTATTTCAAAAGCAAACACGTGTCACATGTAACGTAATTTTTTATTGCACAATTCAAAATATGCATTTTGTTCAGAATTTATTCCTCTACATAGACATATCATAATTTACACAAAATAATTATTTTTATAGATTTACTAGCAATAATACGGAAAAATTGGAAAACGTCAAATTCTTCAACTACACGTTGATAAATCCACAAATGCCCTCTACTAATATATCAATATGATAAAAACATAATTTTTTTTGAAGTCAATAATATCATTCTATATAAGAATAACTAAATAAGATAAGTAATAGAATATTTGGTTTTCACAAAAGCAAAAATGTAAACAAAACAACTGATCAGCTGTTATAGCCCACAAAACTTCACTGACTTTTTATCCTATTTTGGATCACACATGTATAAATATTTATGCAAAATAATGCATAAATATTTTGCCTAATACAAAATAATAAACTAAAACGAACATTACAATGTAACATTAGGGATAAACCCACACTTCGTCTTTGTTATCGGACAAAAACTCACGACGACGCCGCCATTTTAGGTTAGACGATGACAAGTGTTCTGTTCCTTTAGCTTTGAAAAATCAAAAGCTTCTATTTGTGTGACCAGCCTAACAACATTGAATTCTACTGTCCTTCGTCTACAAGAGAGTATATAAAACAACGTTTTTGTACTTTTCACATTGTATATATATGTGATTTAGAAATCGACATTTTATGTCGATCCGCCACATGAACAATACGTAAAAATAGGCTATTTACAAAAATTGTTTATCAGCTGTTGGAATGTATTATGCCGTTATACTTTATACAGAATACAAGATTTCTTCATGCTTGTTGCAGTGGTACCACTTGCTTTTGTCTGAGACAAAAATTACGTCTGCTATTTATTTTTGAAATGACTCATCATTTACGATTGCGCAACAAAACATGGCGTTCGCGAGTTCGCGCGTATTTTTCGTTTAAATGTAACTAATTATAAGATCGATATATTTATGTTATAAGGTTCATTCTTATAATAAAATGAAACTACGGAATCTTATCTTTCCATTGGTATAAGAGTTATGTCATTTCACCGACTTTAAATGTGCTTAACATGCAACTGAAAAAACCATTACATAAATCGAGATATTCTGTCGCCCGCCACTCCAGCGGCACATTTTGAAATCGACATTTTCTGTCGATCTGCCACTCCTAGGGTTAAAAAAAAAACTTAATACTAAATAATGAATGAAATGAAATGAAATATTACAGCTATGAGTGAGATTGACAGTCAAAGTTAGTTTTGAAACCACTTACTGACCACCCAAGTACAACTAAAACTCCCCCCCCCCCCCCCCAAGGTAAAACTAGTTGTATCCGTCTCAATTCTTTTTTATTATAATGCAAAAAGAGTAATAAGCCGTTACGGGTTTAACACTGAAATCTGAGTTACTTTGTTACTTACTAAGATTAGGCTATGTGTTTCTTTAGTTAGGACAATTTCTTTAAAGCACATCAATGACAGCTGGGTTAAGTTTTGAGCCGTAAAAAAGCTTCAGACTAGTTTGAACGCATCTATCTATCTCTATGAATAAGTTAAATACGTTATTTTAGGAACAACTGCACACGCCGATGCCACAAAGGCTTTGTACACGATGCGACCGGAGTGGACGGAGGAGGAAGTGAAAGCTAAGGTTGCCAACAGCATCCTCGGCTACAACCAGTCTCTTACCAGTGAAGTGTTCAAACGTTACAACACCTCCTGGACCAGCCTGGCTGCCATCGTCTCAGAGATACGAACTATCTGTCCTCTCCTAAACCTGGCCAGCCAGCTGCCATCCACACCCTTCTATGTTGTCACTGAGGTATGTCTGGTTAATCTTTGTAGAGTGGGGAAAACCTTCTTGCTATCCTTGATGTTCAACCACAATAATTATCTAAAAGACGTAATCCCTTAGTTTTGTTATATAATAAAATATTTCTTATTTTAGTGTGTTTTTAAGTATGAACATACTGATGAAGGAAATACTTATTCTGTTTTATCAATTCAATTCATTTCAAAGAATCTAATTTGTTTGTAGCATCGAATACATACATGAATAATGTCAAATGCCAATACCGGTATTGAAAAATGTTAAACAAAGGTATCTTAGGATAAAGAAGGTAAAAACTAACATTACTTCCTATAACTAAATAACTTCTTGATCAGCATTGTACGTGTTATTAAATTTATGGAAAGTAAATAAAGATACGTCTTATAATACTTAAAACATATTTTTACGCTTATACTGTTACTCTCAAGACGGTAAATATACAAAAGATGGTAAGTGGTGATCGATTTCGACTGGACACTCCAATCATCATCAGACCCAATAGGCGAATGCAACTATTCGTATAACTCGCCAAAAAAATAAATTGTTTTTTAATTTTGATTTTTTTAGACATCTGTTATGCTTTTTGGAATTTTGTTCAACATGTTCATAAATTGTTTATTGTCGGGACCACGTAAGTTTGCAGTTGGTGGCAGCCAATCACAAGACAAGGCTAGTGCGACGTTGCCACATCGCCCGTTGACAACACTAATTAATTAAAATATACTAAGCAATATATTAAAATCAGCTGGTATTAACAAATTTGGCAACACCGCACGGTTCTCATTGGTTCATTCAAAACCATATGGTAAATAGGCTCCTCCCTCAACTGCAAACTTACGTGGTCCCGACAATAGTTTATTATCACAAAAATGAAATGATGAAATTATCACTTTTCACACCTGGTTATTTCATTTATAGGGATGTTGTAGCATGCATGTTTCATACAAAATAGCTCAATCAAACCTCTGCTGGAAGATTTTTAATTAATATAACCGCTGACTACAAGTATCAAATACAAAATGTATGATCACTTTGCATATTTTAGACTTTTGTTTCACTTAAATTTAAATCATTCATTTGAGAACCTTCCCTATCATGTATCTGAAAGATTAGTAAATGATTACATTTACATAACACTCTTGAGTTTGCAGCATTAGAGTAGATCGTATCAAAGTTGGGTGAAGAGATTAAAACTGATTGATTGTCTCAAGGTGAATCGGCCTGACTCTGTTGGTTTGTAAATCCTGTTGTCTACTTCAGGGCCTGTTAAACTGTAGCAACCTGGTAAACTTTAGCAGACTTTTTACAAGCTCTGCGTGAGACAAGCATCTGACCTTAGTAGAATTAATATGATATAGACTACCTGTTACAACTCTCCTGTGTTGTGTGTCATATTAAACAATTCTTTTTGTTTTTGTTTTCTACAGTGATATATACTCAGGGCCGGATTTACGACTAAGCCAACTAGGTACTGGCCTAGAAATTATGCCTGATATAGGTCTTATTATAATGATTTGTAGAAAAGTAAATTTAACCAATTTACTTGTACAAGTCTCGGGGGATTAAAACGATGAAAACGAGATATAATTTGGACGTGATAATTATTTGTTAAGCGAACGGAGAAATCGTAATTTCGAAACTAGTTAATTAAAATAAAATAAACGATCGCCACCGCTAGTCACTGGCAGGCAGGAACTGGCGGGTCAAGACTCAAGTTACGATATTAAATTTAGGTTATGTTTTTAGGAAAAAGCATTTAGCTTGGATTAAATAAATATATAGGATGGAGAGGACACAGCTAACTCTACTATTTGTGTAGTGTCAGTTGGACAACCTGTCAGACATTTTGAATTCAAACTGTGTCATCCTATTTTAAACTGTTGTTCTTGTAACTACCATCTAGGCCTACTTCTGAAGAAGCCTCTGAAAGAGGCGAAATATTAAGTATTATTATGTGTGTGATTTTATGTGTTCTTTGACTCATCTGCAACCTTTCATCAGGTGAGTTAGATATTAAATTTAGATAATTCGAATCGGTAATTTAAGAAAACGAAAAGGTATAATAAGTTAAGTATGCGTAAGATAAAACAGAAAGAACGTAAAACGTAAAAATGGGCCTAACTAATATGGTAGCTAACCTTCGTAATAATATCGTAGTGTCGTTTCGTTGTATTCGTAGCCCGTGCGAGCTAGTTGGTGGTCAAACAGCGAATAATCTTGTCCGGCTCAAATCATGATTTCCTCGGTCGAGGCTTAATCGCTCTGGTGGTGAGTTTGAGAACTAGCCAACAGCTGATCGGAAATTCACCTGTTGAGCCGGTCTAGTTGTCGTCGTCGTCTGTCGTTGGTCAACAAACACCGTTTCGAGGTTAAGTGATGTTGTAATCGGCGTTAAATATTCGTAAAATCGGTCGTTTTAACTTTATTATGTGAAACGAAGTGCTATTATGAATAAATATATCGTTGTGGGTGTGTTTGTGTACTTCACTGTTATTAAAAGTAGGCCTACGTTCTTTGGCCCATAGCCCAAGCTATGGCCAACACATAGGCCTAGGAGTAGGATGTTGTGGATAAAAATCGGGTAAGTTATGGTGTCTGTTGACTAGCAATATGTTTTTTACCCCCCTTAAAATTTGGTACCTCACAGAACTAACTTAGGGGCGAAAAGATAATTGTTCCTAGGGGCGCCAAAATGCTAAATCCGGCCCCGAATATACTCGCAGATTTCAGGTTGCTACAGGTGTATATCTGCACTTCCTCCCTCCACATCAACCATATAATTATGTATTCTTCAGCTAGGGGAATTAGGTGTGTGTGCATTTGACCAAGTCTGACAACAAACCAAAACTGTACAATTACTAATCAACACGCTGACACACCTTACGATTGCTTATTTAGCAAATTTCACTTCGCTTGAGTGAACAGTCTACAGATTGAATACTAAGATGATACCGCATCTCTGTATTTTCTTCGTTCTAGAAATTATTAAAAGAAAACCATCATTTGTGAATTTTTACAGCCTCGAGGTGAACATAGAGTTGCTGATGTGAATGCTGATGTCGATGCCATCTTGGAGCGTTACAATCCTAAAACTCCTGAACAACGACGGTACGTCTCGGCGATACAACAGATTTTCTACCGATTCGTCTCGCTCGGAAAGTTTGATCACCATCCGTCCGACGCTTCCAACAACAAGATCCTTCTGATTGGTCAAGACGCTCTGCCGAATCTTGGATATCCAAACTGCGACTTCTGGTTTGCAAAAGACATTGTGCCTCGATTTGCCCGAATCGACTAGATGAAAGGTTTCAAAATAGCCTGAATCGTTTGAATATTAAGTTGTAAATACTTTTGCAAATTGGATGAAGAAATTCATTGTTTTGCTTATTTGGGGAATAATTTGTTCTGATAAGTTTTACTTTTGAAGATATTAATGAAAGAATTAATGTGTTATGTTTTTACAATGTATCATTAAAATCTACACCACAATATTGCTTGTACAGTATAAATTATTTATTGTTTTTTTAAACATATGAGGATGTTGAGTATTGTATCAATGGCATTCAGGTTTTTCCATTTTAAAACTTGGAAATGATTACATTTTACATGTAAAGAAAAAAATTTTGTTTACCAGGGAATTTTCTACGGAAAAGTGAGGTGTTGGTGTGAACTGACAAGATTTAAGACCACGACCTTCACATAGTAGCTCAATTTGTTGCCCTTGATAACATTTTCAGGGTTTAAGAAATTAAACCCTGATAACATTCTTGTATGTTTCTAAAACAAACTATACTTTTATTATGTATATAGGGTATGTTGTGTAATAACTTTAGAGGTAATTATTTATTTTAGACGTAAGCGATGACTGTTTAATTTTTGTATTATAATCACGCGTAATCGTTTTCACCTTATCCCTACTTCCTTTCACAAAAACGGGCCACCAATATTTACATAACATGTTATTTAAGGAATATTCATTCTTAGCAATATCATTTTAGCAAGAGCTACAATTTATATCCAATGAACAGCTTTAATGTTTGTAAAATATTGCTAACACTTTTTTTTATTGGGCGTTAATATTTTGTGAATGTTTGCTAAATCCACAATAATATGCTCAGTAGTAGCTTTATGTATATATGATATTGATAAACGAATTTATGTCATTTAATTGAGTTCCTTCATTGATTTTACTGAAAGATTCTTAACTATTTTTTTAAGAAAATTTCAAGAACGGTTATACTTTTTTTGTTGACAACATAGTGATTTTTTGAACAAAATTTCAAATAACACTTTGTTATTTATTTCAACATACAGTCTGGTTGTTTACACATTGGTTGTATGCAACCATGACCAAGTATGGTGTTTCCGTCAGTATACCAATTATCTTCTAATTCCTAACTTTTGGTTGTAGATGTATCAAATCCTTATGCATGCTGATTATTTTTGTATTTACAACTCTCTAACAATTCAATCAATTCAAGTCAATTTTAAGATGATGAATAAACATTCTAGTAATGGGTGAATTCCAACAGTTTGTTCAACTGAATGTGAATGAATCTTGCAACGACTCAAATGAATCATGAATCAGTTTCTAAAGAGCTAATTCGTAACAAAAGTCATATGAGCTTCAAATACATAACAGGTTAAATTATCAAGTAACTCTAAGTAAGGTTTCATTACGATATTCACAAGTGTAAATACTGGAACTGATAGCTGTGAACAAAAGAAACTGATCATTGTAGCAACAAATCTTGTTTTGGGTGAGAAACAATTGTGGTAACTCCAAGCCTGTGTGTCCTCCACTTGGATAACGGTTTCTATAGTTACGAATAGGGTTTCAGCATATAGAGTTTTCAATTACAGAAGAAGTCCTTCTCGTATGAGGAACCAATTTTTTTAGATCGGTGATCCTACAGCTAGGTGTGTTCCAAATCAACAGGTCATGGCATTACCACATTGCTAAGAACTGTTGGTGTTAAGCGGGATTTGGATTTCACCCAATGTCTTTTGAAATGGTCCTGACTAATGAAACAGCTGTTCTTAGTCGGTAAACTACACATATCATCTCACTCTGTTCTAAACTCATCCTTCACTCATATTTTGGTTAAAATACCCACCTAGGTAACATCAACATCCCCATATCAATAATTGATGATGTATGATGTAGCACGCACACATACAGCAACCATTTGAATGGCTACAGAGTCTTGTCAATATTTAATTCTTTGAATGTCGACCCACTGAGATGATTTAGTTTGCTCATTGCTATAATGGTAATATTTCTCTTCAATTGTTTAGTTCCTACAACACTAATCTACGTAATATTTATTCAGAAAGATGAAGGCCAAATTCTAAGTCGGTCAAATGTGATAAAGTAGTAAGGAATTTTGCATTTTTATACAAAAATATTTATAGATCTCTATAAAATTAGCCACAGGACATTTTATAAGTCTAGAATTATTTTTAGAGTTAGTAAATAAATAATAACGACTGCCTGAATCAGGACTGATCTCAAACATATTAAATAAGTGCAAATGTTTTCTAGGATTTAATGTTCCTTTTGTAATAGTTAAAAACAAAATTATGTTTTTAAAAGTGAGTATAGATAGAGTATGGAAAGTAATATTTCTCTAGTGTATAACATTTTCCAGAAAGAGGACAAAGTTTAATATAAATAAAAATCTTCATGGAATCTTTGAATCAAATTAAGGTAACTCTTAAGTGTATAAGAATGAGGAGGGAATGCACAAATAAATACTATACCTCACTCAATACAATTGAGCTTATACTTTCCTTTTATTAATTAACACCTTTGTATCCTCTAGATTACCTTTTAGATTTGTATTGCAATTTAATTGTGTGCTGTAGATTTAACATTGATGACCCAAATTATGATACCAATTTTTCTACAGTAGAACCCCCCATACCGACCTTGGAATAACCAACTCCTCAAGATATCCGATCATCTGGGCCAACGCCAAGCGCGATCCGTTGACTGAAAGTGGATGTTACCGGAATCGCGGCATACGATTACCGAAGTCGCAGAGTACAAGTTACGCTCAAGGATTTTGGGTCACGGGAGAAAATGACTGATGTCTTGGAAACTGCAGGTTATGCTCCCCCCGAAATCCGACTATGGCTCGGTCCCGTCATGGTCAGATATGAAGGGTTCACTGTAATAAAATCAAAACCGATATTGAAGTATGAGATAATAATAATTGTTAGTTGAGATGTAAAATATAAATGGTTAAATTAATCTAGAATTTGTTGGGGAAAATTTTGTAAAGTAACACAGTGAAATCCAACCCCAAGTCTTTCACAAACCAAAACTTTTTACTTAAAGTGTTACAGTATAATTTTTATCATGTCTAATAGTTGACAGGTAAATTTGTCCATCAGTGTAGCTTTTGTATTGTGCTTTTGTAAAGCCTGATATTTTTGTTAAGCCAGAATGTTATTTTCTAAATATTTATATACATACATTTCTTGTCTATTGATGTGTTTTGATAAACATTTTGAGTGTAATTATATTGTACGTAGCAATAAAAATTTAACTGATATACATTTTGGTTTACTTTATTCCATTTACTTCCACTTCCATCTTTTATTTCATTTCCATTTTATCAATTTTAATTGAAACTAATTAAATACAAACTAAAAATTCCTCTTTCTAGATTTGAGTTTTCTTGAAAGGGATTGAGTTCAGCTAGATGACTTGAGAAAGTCAGAGTACAGGAGCTAATATATACACAATACAAGATCACAAACATAACATCGATATATTTCATGCTAATATAGACTTCTTTAGTTAGAGACGGTTAAAGAGAATGGATCAGCTAAAGGCAATTTTTACGTGTTTCCTTACAGTATATATCATTTGTCTATGCAATTGAAAGGAAGTATTCAATACATCTAAGAAAATGATAGACCATTTAATTGATAGTCAGGTACTCCTTAAACAAGTCCATAGGATAGTATTGTAAGTAAAATCTGTAAATTTATTCAACAATAAAATTATTACAATACATTTTTAACATTTCTCAATCAGATTGTTCAATTCTGAGAAGAATTCACTGGAGCTGCGACTAAAGCATTTTTTAATATAATATACTAGGTTATCAGTATCATCTTGGACTTCTTCGATCAAGCCCTGTGCCCTTGTCAGAATTTCATCAAATTCTGGTCCACTGTTTTGGACTTGTGTTACAGTACAGTTTAAGATTGTTAAAATTCCACCTTCATGTCGACAACCGAGTATATTCTCAATTAAATCGAAGAATGTGGTACCGATAAACCTGACGTAGAAGTAGAGATCAATCAAGACTTCTTCATAGTTAGCAATCTCTCTAGTTGCATTAACACAAGCCTTGTAATCGCCATACTTCAACAAGGCCAAAGATACTATTTCTAAATGGGTTTCTGTACCACATGATTGAAACTTGTCCAAAGTACTCTTAGCTGTGCCGTAAAACTCCTTTAGACTGCCAAGTGATTTATGAGAAGAGGAGGGTATGAGGTCTTGTGTTTGAGAATCTCCTGGAAATGCACTGACCTGTGGAAATATTTCAAATTACTTTTTATTCCAAATAAAATGTATTTATTTATACTTTACCTTGTTCACACGAGGCCAGTACAGCAGACAGATTACTTGCTTCTAATTCATTTCGAGTTACCTGAGGAACAAACCAGACAGTAACCTGCCTGCTCTACTAGCCTTGTGTAAACGAGACTTTAAAGAATTATCTGTGCATTGTTATGTTTAACAAATATTGGAATTACAAATGCTACAACTGTTTTGAAATTTCGCGCAGTACTATAAAAACAAGTAATTATATTTGAGATAAGGTAATATGATGAAGAAGTAAATTTTGATTAAGTTTACAAATAGGAAAAAATCCTTTAAAATTCACAATGAGCAGAATAATTCGAAACCGGATAAATTACACGATGTATATTTGTTATAATAATTGTGTAACCTCAAAATGTAAATAATTAAAAATAAGAAATACACAAAGTATGTGACTATTATGCAAATTAGTTTCATAGATTGAGGGTCAAATGAAATGTTTGTGTTTGAGTACATATCAATCTTATTTTATATTTATTTTAACTCAAGTTGTGACTCAAGAAGGGTTAGGCCGGGCCACACTCATCTTATCTCGCTGAATTTTTTCCACGGGCGTTACCCGTGGGTTTGTTAGATATATTACGGTATATGGGGCAGGCCACACTAGAGTAAAAACGTCCGTGAACGCGTTTGTCAGTCTCGCTGGTTTTACCAGCGGCACACGGACACGGACGATTTTTATTGCAAGCGTGGCATGCTCTATCAGTCTCACTGGTTTGCCCGAAAAACCTATCTCGTAAGACGAGTGTGGCCCCGGTCAAACGCACGTGAAAACGGAAAAAACAGTCTCACTGGTTAAAAATTACAAGTGTGGCCCCGGCCTTAGTCAGTAACAAAGCTACAAAGATCATCTCACTCCATTCTATACTCATCCTTACTCATATTATTTTGTTAAAATATGCACCTAGGTGGCGTCCCCATCTCAATTGATAATGATAATGATTAAAATCAATAAGCTGAACAGTAAAAAACTCCCTTGTCCAGCTGCAGAAATATAAGAAGTATCAAATTACTTTACAACTAAATTTTATTTTTAACAACAAGATCAAAACAATTATTATTACGAACTGAATTTTGAATGCTACAGTCTCTTAAATGTAAAATGTTAAATAAATGCTACGCCACAAAATAATGAGGGGTTTGTCCAAGATTTGCTTACAAAAATTGAATTATAACAATGAAATAGCTTCTAATTTGTATGCCTAATATAAATTCCAACACTATTCAATATGGTTATTACATTTATACTGTACATTAATGATTTTATAATAGGTGTAAAGTATAAAGATATCCGAGTAATTTTGGAAGAAATACTTTTTAAATCCGTCTAATACCGCCTACATGTAAAGTTATTTGAGAGCACTATTTGAGAAGTTATGAAAAAACATACTCAAGATATCTAAGGCATTTGTAGAAAAATTAAAGATGGGGAAAGCAGGAATCCAAGTACCTATGACACTTTCTTTACTTACCCAAAAAATATCTAGGTATTTATACAATACCCAATTTACCTGTAGCCTACCTTTTAACACATTAACAACTAATCCAGCACTTAAACTTTAAAATTGTGCAGGTATTTAATTTAAAAGAACCTAATTCATTGATTGAACTTACCTTGAGAATAAAAATGAAGAGGAAAACTGATATGATTTTGTACAAAACCATTTTGTATAAACTTATTTGAACACTTTTCACAGACTCAATCTGAATTATGAAAATTGTGATTACCTAAATTGTTTATATGATAAATAATCTTTATCTCGAATTACAGAATAATCTCTATGATTGACAAATATTCTTAGATAAGTTGAAGAGGGATAGCCCTGATTTTGTAATAATTTCAGGTATTTCTAATTGTGCACCAGTAAGGAGTGATGCTTAACAAGTGGAAGGGATTGTCCATAAGGAAATGTTCAATTTAATTTAGTTAATAGTACTTATAACTTGATGCTGACATAGTAACTAATCAACAATCTTCAGATAGTTAAAAGTTTATACCGTATAGAGTGTATAAGGGGAAATAACGCTTTTCTGAGAAAACTGCCTCAAACATAACAGCTTCAAAAAGATGATTGATTTAATTCGTTAAAGATTGTTTCAATTGTAAAGCTTACCAATGCTGATAATAAAACTTCACTAAACCGTCATTCAGTAAGATCCAACCATTATGAATTTTAATTAATCTGTCTAGCACATTTTAAAACATTGAATACCTATGTTAAGACTGTGCCACTTTAAACTAGGCAATCTTGTTGCATTTACTGTACACTTTTTGTTTTTTTAGGTTTTTTTTTTAATTCAGAACATCCAATTCAAGCTTATATCCTAAATTGGTGTTCAATTTAGCCTAATGTTAAGAATATTTAGCCAATTTTCCCTGGAATACGGCTGCCTTACCCCAAAACTAAACTTAAACTTATTTAGTACTAGTAGTATATTAATATTATCCAGAACCCAGAAAACTTAGATCCCAATAAGTCCAAATAAATTAGGGTTTACTGTAAAATAAAAATAATTTTAACGATCACCAACTTGAAAGACGGTTAATGAGCCATGAAAACCATTACATTTGCATGGGTAACAATGTTGGAAAATTAAACATAAATTAACACGTTAGGTTTAGGAATGATCTATGTGATTTTTTAGTGTTAAACGAGCAAAAAGGTTTAAAAAATTAAAATTCCAAGATTCCATTTATTAATATTACACACAAATAAATACATAAACAACAAACCATTAACTAGATTCACTGCCATCGCTATCAGAGTAAGCGCCCACTAGGGACAGAATCGCTTGGGGTTTCTTGGTTTCCCCATTGGCTGAAGAGGCGGGGATATTTGAAGTTGTTGGGACAGTAGCTGAAGTGGTTGATGGACTGCCTGTAGCTGCATCAGGTTTCTTCAGACGTACCAGACCACTCAACGGCTTCTTCCCCATCACTCCCACACTCTTGGTCCAAGACGAGTTTGTTTGGGTCTGCAAAACCACATGAATATCAAGTGATTTTGGATGTAGTAAAACAATTCATCTCTACGAATGAAAATGAATGAAATGAAATGAAAAGGCGCTTTATTTTCAAAATTCTCAATACTTAAACAAGTTCATCCCAAGCAGGGAACGTGCCTACTCGCTACAGCAATAACCTCTCGGTCGTCTGCCGAGTTGGCACCTCTAAAACTAAATCTATTATATAAACAATAAATTAATTACTTTAAAATGAAATTGAACACCTCCCTTAACTGACAGTTTTAGTTTTTTTTATATTTTTAATTAAAAAGTGTTTTAAGATAATATTCAGCTAGCATGCACAAGGTAAATAGAGTCCATGCGCTACATGCATACAAGAGATTCATTAAAAGGTTACAGAATAACTTTTAAATTTATTCCTAATACAGACTTTCTCAAAGTAGTGAGATTAACAGAATTATAACTCTTTAAAACACCTGGCAAAAGATCATTGGCGATGTGCAAAATACTAGCCTCCATGACTGAAATCTCTAAGCACTAGACATGTTATGATTTTGCTAAGGCACATGTGTTCAGCCTATAAATATATTGCACACTACGGGTAAAAACTGTACCCATTTTTGAAACAAAAAATAGATCAATTTCAATCAACCAATAAAGTATAGTTTTGTAAAAAAATCTGATTCCTAAACCACTTTTAAACCGTGCCAAACTGAAAGGCAACTTGTTTAAACTATAGCATTTCTTAAGTTCCCCATCAGCTATCATAGTGCAAAGAACTATAAGGATTCTAACCGAGGCTCATTGGACTCAAAGAACTGAGTAAAAACTACCTAAAGCGGGTAAGGTTCACAAACTCGAAATTTCATCAACTCCTATGGTAACATATTTAAATAAACAGAGAAGTTCACGAACTGTCACAAAGTCCAATAGCATAAATTTCAAATAATCGTTTCACGAACTCCAATGGTAATAAGCAGAGCGTTTCCCAAGCTCCAAATTTCAACAACTCAAAAAGTACAGTCCCAACCAGAAGTTTCCACCGTCGGATTGCAGGCAGTTCTTGCATTGTTAAATTTAATTAATATTATTGGAGTTTGTGAAACGATGGTTATTTTAAAATTTATGCTTTTAGATCTGGGGAAATTTGGAGTTCATAAATCTCTCTTTTATTTAAATATTTTCATATTGAAGCTGGTAGAATTTGGAGTTTGTGAAACGCTTCCGCCACTGCTGACCCACATAAATCATGTCTACTTTAGTATCCGGAGCAGAGGAATACCAAAACTGCTGACTAACTTCAGAGTGTATATTTTGACTATAGTTAGAACTAGACAATTCATCCCTATGTTAACAGTTTGAATCAAAATGGATGTGAAGTGAGAAAACCCAGACTGGGCTGGTGTCAAAAACTGATTTAAGTATATGTACTTGTATCATATTTTTATAGTCAACTACAGTAGACTCCTTCTTATCTGGACTCCATGGGACCGAGGCCAGTCCATATAACGGTTTTTCCGGTTAAACAGGTGTCCCCAAAAACTCATTAAAACGGACCATTTAAATTTAATGCATGCAAACCAAATATTTTACTTAAATTAAGGAGAGCATTGTGTTTAGGCACGTGATCGCTGGTCTCAAATCTTTCCCACGAGAACAGTCGTTTCAGTAATGCCCACAGTATTGTCGATCTAGTCCGGTTAAACTGATGTGGAAACAATTGTCCGGTTAAAGAGATGACATTTACGCAGAGTGTAGTCCGGTTAAACCGATGTCCGGTTAAAAGGTGTCCGGATAAGAAGGAGTCTAGAGTCTACTGTATTTTAGTAAACAAAATAAGGTAGAAAATATAATACAAGACACTAGCACACTCTGTGGCGGGCATAAACTGTAACTTTTTTTTAAATTGGCGAGAGCTGGCTTATGGGATGTCTACTTCGGTATCCAAAAGACAATGGTATAGCTATAATCACTTGTATTAATCTAGGATTTAGGGGTAATTTTTTACCAGTAGGCCTACAAATTTTTATATTGCATACCGGATATCTAAGGTAAAATGTAAATGTTAACGTACCCAAAAATTTTCTGTTCTGTAAAAAACCGCATGAATTGGTCAAAGGATACGATGTAACAGTGCTTGATTTCTATAGAATATCAAAGCTATTACAGTGTATGTTTCTTTCACTGCAGTTGAATGTTGAATTGTATGTGGTTATCTGTAAGACCTCTTGTGTAACACCTCTTGCCCTTCAAGTGTTCTGATATATTTATAAAGATAATAAAAGAGTGTAAACAATGACAATGACAAAATTGTATGTTAGCCTATTCCAAATGCCAATCACACTCAATCAAAAACGTAAACATGAGCATTTAAAAAACAACAGTAGCGTGTTGATTCAATTCAAAAACACTTCATGAATAAGCACTTCAATGAAATGCATTAATGGTAGAATAAAGTGGTTTGTAACTAATGTATTTTGTATTCTTATATACAACAAAGAAAAATCTTACTCGAATCCTAAAATTACAGAAAAAGGCATTAAGAACAATGATGGGATTAAATTATGATGAGTGTTAAAATTCATTTGAAAAATGTTAAAATATTAACTGTCTTTGCCCAATACATTTTTGAATTGCTCTCATTGCAAGAGAATTTGAGCCTGGCTCCCATTGTCAACTTGTACTAGTAACTAGATTGTTTTTTGTGTTACCTGAGTTTTGGGTGCAGGTTTTTCCACAGCCAGTTTTTTTGTCGCAGGAGTAGATCTCTCCTCATCTGCCGCATCTACTATCTCCTCCTCGACTACTCGTTTATTTCCACTGCTGAACACTGATCTGAAATATTCACTCATTACATTTAAAATATTTGGAGCATTTTAAGGCTTGAAATCATTATTGGATTGGCAAATAATGAATAATAATAGATTAGTATTCGGTTAATCTAATCTAATTATTTTGTTGTGCTGTACCAAGAATTATAGTTTTTTTTAGAAAGATACAGTAAAGTTTAGGAACATAAGAAGATTAAATAACCAACTAATGAACTTTAAAATTCATTTCAAGCAGTTGGTTGGACACAAAAAAAGTCCAAAGCCCAATTGATTCATTTAAAATTTCTCTGCAATGGGGACATCTTGAGAAGAAATAGAGATCTGCGTTTGTTGAAAACCTTTATGTTTTTATGAACTTATTGTGAGCTATAAAATAAACTGAAATACAACGCCTGATAAAGGAAATATAGATAGGATTTACGTATAAACTCTCTGGTTATTGAATCTTTACTGTAGTTTACTTACTTAATAAACTCTTCATCCTGTTCTTCTTGCAATTTTAAAATTTTCTCTCTAGCTTCTTTAGTGTTATAATTGCTGAGCATGGAGTCATAATCTATGTTTCGTTGTCTTCTGTTGAGGTCTTTCAGGTCCTCCAAGGATTCAAGCAGTTCCAGTTCTTGTTTTGACTGCTGGGTTCTATTTTCCAAAAGCTGAAAATGTTGAAAACATCGCTATTATTTGCTTTACAACTGCAACATAATTTTTGTGTAACCATAAGTGTTTATCTGAAATATAAATCTATGTCTGTGATTAAGTCGATCCTGTCATTTGACTCCAGTTTAAAAGTATTGTCTGGCCAAAGAGGTTTATGCCTTGTACAGCTAAACTCAGGTCCGTCCGAAGGGGGGGGGGCAACGGTTGCCCCCCGGTATAGGTATTGCCCCCGGTAATATAAAGGTAAAATTAAATGTAAATGTAATATAGTATGAAGTAGGGTTGGTACTACTATAAAGGAAGTTCACGTGCAACCAATTGTCAGACGCTGTCATACTTTTTGGGACTTAAATGTCGGAACTCGGGAGTAAGGCGGAGGCGGTAGGAATATAGGGAGTGACAGTGACAGTTATTACAGTGATTTGTTTCCCTGGTGCATCAAGCGTTGCAGAGTGATGTGGTAAACATAGGACGTGCAGTGATGATGCTTGGCAAAAGTCAGCCCTTGGCGGGAACATTTATGTCAAAGAGTTGCAGCAGTTCAGGGCAATCAATTAGTCCATTCACGATCTTATGAAGGAATATAAGGTGAAGAGCAATTCTGCGTGAGGCATGAGGCATAATTTCAGTGGTGTTGACATCGGTGTACCTAAGACCACTCCTCACCCTCAACAAGCGCAGAAGGCGTTTTTGGACTTGCTCAAGGGAATCGCAGTGGCCTAACTGGTGGGGGGACCAAATTGTAGATCCATATTCGAGTATGGGCCGGACTAAAGTATAATAATAAAGACTCTTAACTGTTGCAGAGGAGAAGGCATTTTGAGGTGTCCGAGCAATGAGTCTCAGTGTACAATTTGCAGAGGCCCAGGCATTAGTGATGTGAACATTTAGCTCCAAGCTAGGAGATAGGTGGATTCCTATTCATTAACCAAATTGACTCCCTCCAAGATTGTGCCATTAAGGGTATAGTCAAAGAAAGGCTTGTTTTTGTTCCTCCCGCCCGAAGGTTAGGACTAGGCACTTATTTACCGTGAGCTGCATGCAATTCATATGGCACCAGCGTTCAATCTGTTCAATATCTTCTTGGAGCTCAACGTGTAGGTTTACAGATGCAACTTCTCTAAATATTTTTATGTCATCAAGAAAAAGAAGAAAGTTGGACTTGAGGGACGCACCAATGTCGTTGATGAATAGACCAAACAGGAAAGAGCCAAGGAGGGACCCTCGAGGCACACATGATGTAACATTCAATGAAGTCTGGGAAGAGGAGCCAGTGAATTTGACTTATAGGTTGTGGCCATTTAAATATGACTCATAATGTAATTATCCTTCAAGTATGCTGTGTTTATTTAAGAAGGTATGCTGTGTGAGTATTGGTGGCAATGCAAAAAACTAACATACAACTACTATTGGGGGGAAGGGGGCGCCATGAACATGTTTGCCCTGGGCACCACCAACCCTGAGGGCAGCCCTGGTAAATGACTTAGAACACCAGTTAAGTTTAGGTTAGGATCATTATAACGGCAGACAGATCAATAACTACGGTTTCTTCAACTCAAATAACAAAAACTATTAAAATAATAATTATATTACTCAGTAATCCACTCTGTTCTACTTTACAGATAAGAAATACCATTAAGATGAAAATAAACTTTTAGTTTTAGAAGATAGGATGCTCAGAAAAATGTATAACCCAAGTTAAGGTGGAAAAGCCAGGTGTTTAAAAACATTATTACAATGGGGATCCAACCTGAATCAGTAGGGTACCAGTATGGAAAAAGACTGGCATTATCGGTGTGCCAAAACCTGTTTAAGATTTTAATGGCCAATAAGGGCAAAGCTAGGAAGGACAGGGGTCTGGGTCTAATTTTGAACCAACCACCAACCACAGCTTAGATTCTCTAGCATATATTGTTCTCACCTTCATTGGATTATTAGCTTCCTCTTCTTTTCTCTCGTCTTCTTCCCTTTGAGCTTGTTCTTCGGCCAGTTTGAGAGCCATGAAATTACGAGTTGCCCCTGCCTCTATTTCGTAGTCTGTGTTTTTTGGATCTGTTTTGAAGGATATTTCTTGAAGACATCGTGTACACTGAAACCACAGTATCTGCTTAGAGGGATAATTCAAAGCGTAAAATTTTATTTGTACTTAGATACGATAATTTCTTAATGGAAGAAATATTGCAAGATGAACTCAAGCTATGTAGGTTATGTAAGAAATTGATTGTGTTCAAAATTTAAAATATGTTGAGTGTTCTGAAAATGTTAAAGATTAATGGATGACATTTCAAAATGATTTAATACTTCTAACGCTACTTTTTCTGAAACTTTCAGATATAACAAAGTTGTCAAAGAAACGTCTAATCAACAGTGTTGGGGAAGCTTACTTACTTGATACTTGATACTTGTGTGCTGCGTCGTTGACCGACAATGTCGGATAGACTGCGTTATTATATACATTTAAAAATAAACACTACTATTTACATACATATAAACAATACAACTTAAACAGGCTGTGGCGGTAAATAAAACGTGTTCCCCATTTGTAATGAAGGCTTTTATGTGACTTTTAGGGGTTCTTTACTCAGCTCCTCCAGTGAGTACAGTGGCCTATCCACCAAGCTATTTCTGATGGCAGCTTTGAAGGAGGTGATTTCCATATCCCGCACCTTATCCGGCAAGGTATTAAAAAGCCGTATGGCATAGCGGGGATAGCTCTTGAGGGTGCGGGTGAGACGACAACGCGGCATGTCAAGGTGTAGTGCTTGCCGGGTGTCATAGCGGTGGTGAACTTCTCTTCGGTCAAACAGATGGACATTCTCTTTCAGGAGTATTAGGATGTTCAATACATATTGACTGAAGACTGTAAGAATGCCCAGGTCTTTAAAAGGGGCCTACAATGTTCGTTGTAGTCGGCTGACATTATGATTCTTACAGCTTTTTTCTGGAGCAATAATATGTCCTGTGCTGCTGGTGAATGGCCCCAAAGTACCAAGCCGTACATAAGATGGCTATGAAACAGAGCATGGTACACAGTTATCAAGAATTGCTTCGGGATGATGTTCCGAAGTTTCCTTAGGAGGCAAATAACCCTAGATAGCCGTGCGCATACCCTATCAATATGTGAGCTCCAGCTTAGTTTGGGATCCAACCAGAAACCTAGAAGTTCCTCATCTCTTTCGGTTAGTGGCTTCAGTGTGCAGAGCAAGGACTGAGTCTTAGCTGCATTTAATTTCAGGCGGTTTGCTGTAAACCAGTTCTTGGCCAGCTCCAAAAGATGGTCAGCTTCAATATGCAGTTGCTCAATGTCGCTTCCTCTAGATATCAGAGTGGTGTCGTCAGCGAATAGGAGGGTGGAGACATTTAGCCTCAAATCGTTCACCGCTACACTAAAAAGGAGAGGGCCGAGCACCGAGCCCTGTGGCACTCCATGTGAGATACTCCTAACGCAGGAGAAGGCCCCATTTATCACAACTACTTGCCTGCGATTTGCCAAATAACAGGACAGGGACTTCAGCACAGTTCCGCCCACACCATACTTTGCTAGTTTGCCTATCAGTAGCTTATGGGACACCACATCAAACGCCTTGCTCAGATCGCAAAGTCTGAGGAGGATTGACTCATTATGTTCAAAGGCGTCAGTAATTGTCTCAACAAGACTCAACAGTGCGGTGGGGGTCAACATACAGGGGTCGTTGGTTCCAGTCTGATTTCATTTCTCGGAGTTTCACTCACAGCCTTCTTCATTTCATTTATCTTTTTTTGACCCATGTAGTCTGGAGTGGGACATTGTCATTGGTTGCCGCCAATGGGGCGTCACCTTCGTCTTCAAAAGTCTCATTCGACATGTCTTTGTTTGCAGTCTCATTTAATTCTAGGTTACAAGACAATTTATTTGATTCTAAAACTTTGTTTATGGCAACCTTAGTTTTAACGCTATGGTTAATTAAGATATTTAATTAAGATATTTATATAGATATAGATGGTTTAAGATATTTAATTAAGCTACTTTTAAAATGTAGCTAGCTACAACTACTGCTACATTTCCAAAAAAGTAGCTTAGCTACAGCTACAGCAACTCCATGTCCACGCAATGTTGTAATAGGTAATGAAACGATTGTGACCAGCTGTATGAAGCCAAGAAAGTAGGCTTAATTTTCTTTAAAATCTCAGTTTGAAAAAGGTTGTTTCACGTAAGGTTGTGATAAAAATCACTATCTCAATCAATGTTAATGTAGCGAGAAAAGTAGCTAAAATTCCGCTACAACTACTTCAAAAATGTAGCTAGCTACAGCTAAAGCTACAAAATCTTAAAAGTAGCGTCGCTACTTGTAGCGCGCTACTTCCCAACACTGCTAATCAAGATGTTATTCTCTTAAAAGTTTTACAACAGCATAAGATAAGCAGGATCTAATTAGACCTAACGTTATATTCCAGTAATACCTCCCAACCAAAAATTAAACAATTAAGTCTTAATCAACAGAAGAATTTAAATTTATACGTGTACTTCACTCCCTGATAGGCCTACTCTTCTGAAATAGAGAAATTAAGCTTGATAAAAATGGTAAGACATGCAACCAACACATTAACTTGTAACTTCTAAAACTGTATCAAAAAATTACTTTGATGTAAAACCTGTAGATTCTGATCCCAAAGTAATCTTCTCCTTCAACATCTTCTTTACGAGCATTGAACTTTTTCCCCTTGTATATATATTCTCCACATGTTTTACATCTGAAACAATAGTAAGTATAGTACTAGTAAAATATTTTTTCATTAAATTTAACAATTTTTTTTAGGCTATTTGAAAAATCTTGTAAGCCTGATATTATGTCAAATTCTATGTTTTATATAAGTACTAAATACCCCTGCCGCAGCAAACCTGCAGATTAAGCGAATTTCCATTTGTCTGAATTTATAAACAATTAAATCTATTTAAATAACATTTAGGTTAAACAAGTACCTAAGTTTGCTGCTTCAAGGAGGAAGGATGTGTGTTTTTAAGTAAAATATTAATAGCTTAGTATAAAAGAAATAAATTTGCCAAGTTTGATCAAAATATATCCATAAACAAGCAAACTACAACATTTTACAATAGTCTCCATAATAATAACATAGGAATTTTGAAATTTAAAATTTTTTTGAATTGTCTCTGTAACCAATGACCTCACAAAAAATTTCAATAAACTAAATTATTTGTCTTTTTAAGCTTTTTAAAATTGTTTAGAGAGGAATTGGGAAATTTTGTACATTGGTCAAAAATAGGGAAAAACCAATTTTGACCCCATATAACCCCCGTAAAACCCCGTTCCCATCGTCCGGTCTTGCTGTTTCATGAACTCATTCAAGTTTATCCCAAATTAATTAAACCAAATTGTATCCAAATCTAACAAAAATCACTCAAGTTATTGTGTTCACGGACATATATATATATATATATATAAATTTTAGCGAATAGTGTTTTCGGCCCCTGGGGACATCATAATGAAAAAGTAAATCGGGCCCGGGCTCAAGTCTTACTAAGAAACCTACCGCAATAGCTACTTCCCTATAGGGAAATTAGCTAAAACAAAAGGATTGGGTTAAATCTAAATCAATGTGGGAATTATAAAACCAACATAAAAACATATGTTGTGTATTAAAACATGGGTAACCCCACCTTACTTAATATTCCACAATTTGATGAAGAATTAGGTTTTGCCTGAAAAAAAAACTAAATTTTACTTATCAAAACAAAACCCAAGATACAGCGAGAAATCTTACAAGACTTAGAGTATCAAAATTAGTCTAGGCTTCCATATAAAGGGAATGGGGTGGTTATTTTTAAAGGATGTCATAAGATCAATAAGAATTTGGCTGGACGTTGTGCCTGACCAAAGCTGAGTTCAAACAGTACTTGATGGTAAGAGACGTTATTCCCTTAGAAGTCTTCATGGGAGGTCCAGGGACGGGAAACAGTGCAGTGTATTTAAGAAAAATAATAAAAATCATAGCTAATCAAGTCTGAAGAAAAAGTTAAGAGGTCTATTAAGAGGTCACAGCTATAGAAGAAGAGGGCTCTGTGAGGCGGAGTGACATTATTGCAATAGACAAGGGGAGAGATTAGATCTCATTATTGACCCAACAATTCGTCTCAAGACAATCAAAAGTCAGCCAAAGGAAGTTCATAAAAAAAAGTGAAGATATATACAAAAACTATCCCCTATGATTTGGAAAAATATATAGTATCAAAATTTGAAGTTTATGGATTACTGGTTTAAGAGGAACGATTCCTAAACAAGTCTGACAGCAATTATGGAAGAAATTCAATAATTTGGAAATTCAAGTGTTAAGTTATATCTAATATTTTTATGGTTATCAAAAAAATTTGTACCGTATGTCATATTATTCTTTGTTCTACACAACAGACTACAATGTGTAGTAAGATGTCAATTTTTAAAACCCATTTGAATTTATAAAAAAAAAAAAATTTATGAATAAAAAAACTTGTTTAAAACAAAACGTTTTTAAACGCACTAAAAAGTAGAAAATAATTTATAAATAAGTGGAGAGTATAAATACTTGTAATATTTAAAACGAAAAACGCGGGGTGCATGCAATAGATAATTTACAATTACCTTCACCTATTGAACTAATGTATTATCAATTGCATGCACCCCACGTTTTTCGTTTTAAATTAATTACAAGTATTTATAGGCCTACTCTCCACATATTTATAAATTATTTTGTACTTTTTAGTGCGTTTAAAAACGTTTTGTTTAAGTTTTTTTTAAACAACAATTGACATTATTAACGAACACCTTTATATCTGCAATCAGATTGTTTATCTTTATTTAGAAATGTTTGATTGTATATATAATCTCTTGGGAGCGTACCTCTTAACCTCTGCTCTTCGAACTGTCAAATTTAAGTATTTACAGCTGATTTAAGGTAACACAGTACTCAAATATAAAAAATTTTTTCAATTTTAGCGAATTTCCCATATAGGGAATAAGCTATTACCGTAGTACTCATGGTAAGACCTGGACACGGGACCGATTTTTTTTTTTCGTTTTGAGGTCCCTAGTTCACTATTTGTTTTGCTTTTGATATTCACCCACGGCCTTTCAATTTTGTTAGGGATGTGGGGCGGCCACTCGCACTGTCACTATGGGGAGCATGCTTCCAATAGTTGTTCGTCTGGGGGCGGTGCGAGGGGTCGGCTCAGGGGTTTACGGGGGGTTTTATGGGGTAAAAATAGGTTTTTCCCATTTTTGACCCAAAAACATAAAATTTAGCAATTTCTTTCCAAACCATTTTGTAGAGCCTAAAAAAAACAAATAATTTAGTATATTGAAGCGTTATTATGCGCCTAATGGTTACGGAGAAAATTCCTAAAAATTGTAAATTTAAAATTCCCATGTTATTCTTATGGAGAATAAGTAAACTGTTGTAGTTTGCTTGTTTGTGAACATATTTTGATCAAATTTGGAAAATGTTTTTATTTCTTACTAACTATTCACATTTAAAAAAAAAAAAAAAAAAACAGTTTTACCCTCCCTGATGCAGCAAACCTAAGTACTTGTTAAACTAATTCTATTTAAATCAAGAATAAATGTTAAATTTTTAAGTAGACATTTCAGTGTAAATCCAATCAGTCAAATGGAAATTCGCTTAGTCTGCAGGTTTGCTGCGGCGGGGGTATTTTTTTATTATTTAGTTTTGTAGAACAGACTTTTCTGAACACGTAGATAATAAAAATTAAGGAAGAAAAAATTTTTTTTTTAATTTTCAGCTACTTTTATAAACTATTGCAGCCTAATTGAGCATGTTAAAGGTCCTACTACTAATCAAGATGCAGAGGGTACGCCGTCAAATATTAATTTTTTTTATTATTTAGTTTTGTAGAACACACTTTCCTGAACACGTACATATAAAATATTATGGAAGAAAAAATTATTTTAAGCTAGGCCTATACAGTGACTTTTATACACTCTTACATTAGCATGCCCAAGGGCCCTACTACTACCCGTGACAGGGGGTACTTTTGTCGTTTTCAGAAAGTCAAGTGGTTTTTAGTCAGGTACACTTTTCTTCCTCAATTATAATCCAACTAGATGAACCCGCGCGAGTTCGCACGAATAATAAATTAGGATATTATAGCAACGTTGTTAGAAGTTGCGTCGTTGAATCGACGTTGGTCTTGAGCTCGATCGTTGACTATATGCATTCTAAGTTCTTTTTGCTGTTCAGTAGGAGTAAGGAGTATATTGCAGGACGGAACTCATCATGCTGAAAACTTGCGCGTATGGATTAATATCAACCAAATGTTGTGTCAAAATGTGCAGGAGTTCATAGTGCTGCAAGAGCCATTAGCTTTGTTTAGCATTCTTTCTTGAACATCGGTTTTGACGCCGTATATATACATTTGGGCATATGTAGGATGCTCCCCTTCGGACGGTTGAAAGGTGCCAATTGAGTGATAAATTGTGTCGTACACCTTATACATAAAAGGCCCTCCACCGTTATTTTCTTCAATTTTAGCTCGACCATTGCGATTCCAGAGTTGTACGATCTAATGTCCTCTTTCTGGTTTCTGCTCAAATGATTTGCTCCATTAAGTAAGCTCTGGATATAATAGCTTTCTCGGTATGGTGGTAGATTCACTTTTACTTTATGGCAGCAGGATGAAAATCCTTCGCCTCGTCCTCTTTGTTCTTCTTTAAAATGTAGCGCACCACATTTCTGACATTTTAATGCTATCTCGCCAAGTGAATGCTGCTGAATTCTTGTATTTGTCAGTGCAATTTTGTAAATACACGTTGCCACTAACTGTTCCAGCTCCTCGTCTGGGCTCCTTACGTTTTGCATTGCTTGCCGTATATTGATTCGCCGTGTCCGACCGGTAATGTTTCCTTGTCGTCGGGTCCTTGGCATGTTTAAACGGAAATAAAATGTAAAACTTTTCTCCCGTCGTGTCCTATAGGTAACGTTTCTTTGTCGGGGTTCTAATTATTTTAAAACACATTCAAACTGTTTACATTTTAAAACCAAAACAGCTGGGATTTAATTTGTTTTTAACTAATGTATTGACATCTGTTTCAGAATATCAACACTCAAATAAATCACAATGTTATCCTTATGGAAGGGACTTTGAGGGCAGCCCACGCCTTTAAAAATATATATTTCGAAAATCTAAAGCCAGTTTGCACATCTACACACCTAGACGAACATTTAGGGACAGCATTTAGGGACGAACAGCTGGGATTTTTAAACTTTTATAATGACATCTGTTTCAGAATATAATAACATTAAAATCAATCACAATGTTATCCTTATGGAAGGAACTTTAAGGGCAGCCCACGCCCTTAAAAAGATATATTTTAAAAATCTAAAGCCAGTTTGCACATCTTCACACTTAGACAAACATTTTGGTATATAATATGTGGGGTTAAATCTTAAAACAAAAAAGCCTTATTGTTCACAAAGTTTCATGTCGCGTATTAAATATATAGATTTCAATAAAAATTTGTGTGTGTGTTCCTTATATGATAAGGAACAACAATACGAACCAATTTCCATGACAACCAAAAACCTTTGAAATAAAAAAATATTTTATGTTAAAAAATTACAAAATATTTTATAAAATTTATAAAAATTATACCAACAATTTAATTTTGCTAAAAACTTTTTTTGTTTCATATTATTGTTGGTAATAATGTATTAAACATAGTACAAAAATTTCAAGTTGATAGGTTAATATTTGTTAAAGTTATGTGTACCTATAAACTACAATTTTAACATGGGCGGGATAGGGAGTACTGTGTCACCTTAAATTAATTGATATGTAGTATTTACATTCTTTCAAAATTTTAACAAGGAAAATTAGGAAGCCGATGGGGCGTAGCCCAAAAGAAATATGAAAATTGAATGACAAAATTAAATTAATGAAATGAAATTAAATGCTTTATTTCCGTGAACATGACAAATGTATGGAAAAAGTAAAAAAAAACTAAAACTAAGTAAGAGTACTAAAAAATTGCAAAAATTACATGAAATGTTTGTTCCTGCAACACTCCATGCATAGAAAATGAAATAAATAAATGATATAATATTGCATTGTCTTCCATTTGTGAGCTATATTTCAAGTTTCAAGTCTCTAGCTCATCGGGAAGTTAGTATAAAATTGATTGCAAAATTTGTACTGTACAAGAAAGCGAGCTAATAAAAACGTTTTAAAATGAATACAATTATAAAAGCAGCAATAAGAACTTACCTCATATTAAATGGAGCCATAAGACGAACAGTGTACTGTCTGTTTTTAGGCAATTTCATACGAGGAATCTTTGAAGGATCAAAATCTGGAGGATAATATTTCTGGAAAGAGAAAAAATTAGTAATTAAGCACCAATACCACAATACCCTACTTCATATTTTGCTAAGATTTTTGCAAAGTTTCAATTTCGTATTAACCACTTTTTAGAGAAAAAAAAATAAGTGAAAAAAAATGGCGGCTGTGTGAGTAACTAACGACTTCCTGACAATTTAAATATGATATTTAGGCCTAGATATGTTTTTTTACTCAGGAACGATGCCCTAAAATATTGGTAGAGAGTTCTGGGACACCCTGTATAATTCAGTGTAGGTAATATTATTGATTATTTGTCAATAATAAACCTTCTATAAGTTATCCGTAGCTATGATGGAGCCAAATGTAAATTTTTTGCCTCAATTAATTACCAAAACTATGTGTGTTAGCCCAGTGGTTAGCATCACAGAATTCAGTGCAGGAGGGACGGGTTCAATTTCCGGCACATCCACAACCAGGGTTGCCACCTTAGATCAGGAAAAAATCGGAACATTGCCTCTTTCCCTACCGGATTAACATGGGCTTAAATACGGGCATAAGGAACCGAAATCGGGACGGGTGGCAACTCTGTCTACAACACATAACATAATAGTTTTGAACCGCTTTTCCTAGGTGCTTTCTCCTGTGTAGGCCTAACTTGTCTAGTAAAAATGCAGTCTGCTATCGGCACCAAAAAAAAAAAAAAAAAAAAAAATACTTTGGGAAATATTACAGCCAGGAAAGAACCAAATTAATTTTTTAATGTGAAGATGAGAACTTCATAAGAACTTCTAACCCCACCATCTAAGTTAGATTCATATCTTGCTAAATACATGTGGCGGGAGTATGTAAAAGCAGAGAATCATGACCGTTTTGATAAACTACTATCAGACATATCGGAACTTAATGTAGGCCTATGCCCACTTGTCTTACATCTGTATTAGTTTTGCCTTTTAGTTTTGCCTTTTACAATATAAAGTTTTGATTTGTTAGGCCTGATGTAGGCTACGGTTATTTTTTTTAAACAATTAAAACAGGCCTAACTTGACATTAAAAAAGAAACTTTCACAATTTGTACCGATCACCGAAAATAATTTCTAAGGCCTAACTTATTAGTACCAGTACTTAGGCCTATCAGTCCATGGAAAAATAAAATATCAATCCATCAGAAAAAATCATTCGATGGGTAACTTACAGTTTCTTTAACTGGACAACCCTAATATCAATTGAAAATATCGATATTTTAAACTAGCCTTAGGTAGGCTAAATCAATTATTAAATGAAATTATTATAACCTAACCTAACCAAACAAACTTGCTGATAAATAAAAATCAATATAGAGATTTACTAAGTAATCTAATCGATATTTTTAATCGATATGAGAGTAGCCCAGTTAACCCTAGCGCTGGCAAACGCCGGATATACGGCGCGAACGGCCGCGGCCGAAACGGCGACGCCGGATATACGGCGCCAATGCCGGTGTTCGGTAGGCCTATATATAATTTTTTTTTTTTTTAGTTTTGTTAACTTTTTTGGGCTACTTTTGTAATAAATAAGAATACAAACCAGAGTACCCTGGAATTATATATTATACTAGCTGTAACCCGCGGGCTTTGCCCCGTTTAACTTCTTAATTTTCAAGATGATCTCGTTTGCATGGCTCAATCACGTCCTGGTTGAAGTTCGTTCGCTACGCTCACTCACCTTTAGGTTGGAGCTCGTTCGCTGCGCTCACTTTCCTTCAGGTTATCTCGTTCGCTACGCTCACTTACCTTCAGGTTAGCTCGTTCGCTACGCTCACTCGCCTCCAGGTTGAAGTTCGTACGCTACGCTCACTCACCTTTTGGTTGTAAATTAGCTGTTGTCATAAATGTAAAAGAAATAATAGTGCAAGTGCTGCACCCTGTTGGTAATCCTTGTAACTTTAATGCTATTGAACATCACAAAACAGAACCAACTTGTTTAATTGAAACAGCTGTTAAGATTCAATAATTTCATTTCTCATAAGGTTAACATGGGATGGGAAACTCCAGAGCCACTGGGGCGGAGCCCGAAAGGATTTTTGAAATAAGAATATGCCTATATGTTAATCGGGAATGTGAGCTATCATCATGCCAAATTTCAGCCCAATCCGACCAGTATTTTTCGCGTTTACTTTTCCCATACATACAGCAACCACCTCTTTTTTATAATAGTATAGATAGGCCTAAGGTGTACGGATTTGTACATGACCTGGGTTGGGTGGTTATTTGGTACTAGCGCGGGAGTACGATCGACATAGTAATAGGGCTACCAAACAAAATACACAAAATAAGCTATATAAACTATATATTTTTGGAATCAGCAAAAAATTTACCACAACTTTACAATTTACCTTATGATGCTAAACGATGGAATATAAAAACATTTTATAAAAAAAGTAATAGGCTAGGGCCTAATGCCCACAATTTGGAAAAACAAAAATTTTTTTTGTGGCAACCATGTAAATCACCTATGTTCTTTGTCTTATTCCGAACAAAATGATATAAAACAATCCATAGTTATGTTGCTATTTCTAATTTTTATGATGGTTTAAAAATGATATGATATACACAGAGGATACGCGTCCGGTAACCAGACGTGGATTAGGCGTCCGGTAACCAGACGTGGATTAGGCGTCCGGTAACCAGACGTGGATTAGGCGTCCGGTAACCAGACGTGGATTAGGCGTCCGGTAGGGGGTCCCGGAACGCCATTACCACAATGATACGATGTTCAGCCATCAGTGTTCGTGGTGTAGTGGATAGAGTGCTCGACTGATATGCGAGAGGTCCCCGGTTCAAAACCCATCAGTAACTTTAACTTTTTGTCACAGATTTTGCTTTGAATGTAATTTCTTCTTAACTGTACATCTTTTGTTAGAATTTTTGGCATTTATAATTTTATGTTATGAAGAGAATTGAACCTTCATTTGATTTTTTTCACTATCAGCAAGTTTGGTTGGTTAGGTTAGGTTATGACAGTAACTGCCGGACGCCTAATCCACGTCCGGTTACCGGACGCGTATCCTCTGCGTATTATATAATCAATAACTTCCCTATGCCAGTACAGTGTTACACTACTGCTAGCTCTAGGGTTAAGTAACTGTACCCCCTGGTTTAAAAAGTAAAGCAGGCTACTACACTGTGAAAACAAGCTTCCAAGTTTAAAAATCTACTAGCCTAGCTCACCTCTTACAGTATGCCTATGAACTTGAAAAAGGTTGATTTTAAAAATCCTTGATATAACTTAGCCTATTAGGATCATGGGATTTGTACTTACATTTAAGACTTTTCTTTCAGACATTTTGGTGTTTTCTTGGTAAACTTGTTACAAATTAGGGCCTATAGGCCTACTTATAATGCAAACAAATTACAAGCCTTTCGTTAAAATTAAAACTAATTGGTGTTAGGCCTATCACTTATCTGAGCAAAATGCTCAGAACTGATACCTAACGATCTAAGTTAACAGAACCGTAAAAACCTAAGACTACCTAACTACTACTAAACTAAGTAAAACAAACGTATAATCACAAAACAATCAGGAATAACAACAGGCAGAACAGAAACTGGAAAATAACATTTTATAGGTTAAGGTTAGACAGAACAGTTAGTTTAGTTGACACTGTGACTGTTTTTGTTCTGTTTTCATTTCATCTTAGGCAGGCACAGGTCACAAGAATTAGTCTGATATTAAATCATCAAGTTTTGAGGTTTTGAGCCAGCGCCAGCGTGTTTTTTTTTATGGTAGGCAGGCACAGGTCACAAGCATTAGTCTGATATTAAATCATCAAGTTTTGAGCCAGCGCCAGCGTGTTTTTACTTTCTCCCCCTATACCATAGTATATGGAGAAAGTATTGTTTTCGTCAAAATTTTCGAGTTTGAGTTTTGAGTGGATATATTCGTTTTGGGTCCCCCTGGAACCAAAAAAGTGGTTTTCGAAGTGATGTCTGTGTGTGTGTGTGTGTGTGTCTGTGTGTCAGAATCAGAATCAGAATTTTTTATTGCCATAATAATACATAAATGTACAGGGCAAAAGTCACTAAAACTAAAACAAATAAAATCAGACCCATTAAAATAAGATACAAACTTCAAAAGGTACAAACTATTTACAATTTAAAAACGAAGAAACACTGTAAAATTCCTTATCAACTAGATATTCCCTCAGACCACGCTTAAATTTTTTTAAATCATGTTCGCCCTTGATTGAGTTAGGAAGAGAATTAAAAAGACGGATACACATGGAGAATGATTGGTTTTTATGGAAAGTGGTACGAGATAGTGGAATATGTAGGTTAAAGTTCCTCCTGAGATTGTAGCTGTGGTGAGATGACCCTCTAATATGAAACATTGTCGAATTTTTTCTTAAGAAGGTCAAAGATTCAAAAATGAAAATTGATGGGAAGGTCAGCATATTATTTGTACGAAAGACAGATCTACAAGACTCTCTATATTTTAGGTTGAAGATTAATCTGATGGCTCTTTTTTGCAGTTTGAATATTTTCTTAAGCCGCGTTTACACCGGAGTTTCAAACAAAAAGTTGCAAACTTTTATTGCAAACTGCAGTTGCAAACAGTAGTTTCAAATAAATGTTTGCAATTTTTATTTAATGATTTGTTTCCATGTTTCATGAAATTGTTTGAAATAATTTTGACCTTGATTATGACTTGCCTCGTTCTGGTTCCTTGGATCAGTCCTTCTGAGGATGTTATTTTAGCCGCGGCGGCGTGTGTCGTGTTGTCAAAGCAACGTAGGCCGAGACGATGCTGGGTGAACATCGGTGATTGTATAAATCATCAAATTAAAATTATTTTTAATTTTTAAAGATTACAAGGACCTTATTATAACCCTTTTAATTCACATGAGACGTTATTGTTATATTTAAATTAGACGACCTTGTCATTTGAGATTAGTGTTAATTCATTGACAGTCAAACAGCATTTTTCCGAATAATTTAACACTGAGTCGAGACACAGGGTCGCAGTGATCACGTGAGTGGATGTGGCAGCGTAGGGGATGGCGGAGAAATGTTTCTGTTTCGTGTTTCAACGGCTCATAGTGACCGAAACTAGTGTTGCAAACAAAGAGTTTGCAACTCCCTTTGATCTTTACCGACTTCAAGTGGAAACAAAAATTTCTGTTGCAAACACTGAAAAACTGTTTGCAACAGCGAAATGTTTCGTCTAAAAATGTGCGTTTTTAAAAATGTTTGCAATTTCTGTTTGCAACTCGTGTTTCAAACTCCGGTGTAAACGCGGCTTTAGTCTGAAGTTTGTCGTTACCCCAAACGATGGTTTGTCTGGATGTGTACAGAGCTAGAGACTACACCTGTGGTCCGATTTCGATGAAATTTGGTATTTAGGTTCTAATCCATGGTATCTCCAGGCGTTTTTTCATTTTTTTGAAATTTTGATTTTTAATGGGGATTTCCCCATAAAAACCCATAAAAAACCGGGAAAATCGGATTTTCTCAAAAATGGCCCAAACGATTTTGATTAAAATTTAGTATGTTGTAGCCCTTTAAATTCTGAACAAGATGGTACAAATCCCATTTCTGTAAAAATTACGGTTCAAAAGTTATGGTAAACTATGTTATTTTCCCATAAAAACCCCATAAAATAACGAAAAATAGGATTTTAGACAAAAATTCAGTTTTGATTTAACATAGTAGGTTATGGTCCTTACAATTTTGATGGTTTTTTTTTCATTTTTTAGAAATTTTGATTTTAGATGGGGATATTCCCATAAAACCCCATAAAATTACAGAAAAATAGGATTTTCCCAAAAATGGCCCAAACGATTTTGATAAAAATTTAGTATATAATAGTCCTTTATATTCTAAACAAAATGGTACAAATCCCTTTTCTGTAAAAATTACGGTTCAAAAGTTATTGTAAATTATGTTATTTCCCCATAAAAACCCCATAAAATAACGGAAAAATCGGATTTCCCAAAATTGGCTCGAACAATTTTGATAAAAATTTAGTATGTTATAGTCCTTTAAATTCTCAACAAAATTGTACAAAATCCCATTTCCGTATATTTACTCTCACCTTTTACACATAATAAAGGTTGTTGACAAACTTATGGGAGAAAGTATGTGTCAGAATGCTGATACCATTTATTTTTATGGTACTACTATTGATTAAATATATTTCATATAAAGTCAATTACTAAAAGCAATTAACTTTGGATACTTGTACAGTTTTATCATCCAATATCCTTATTTGCCTTTGCCATTCTATTACACAATCTAAAGCATCATCTTTATCAAACAGAACCATTCAATGAAGTACACTCTCAGGCACAAAAACAATATTAAGAGCTACCTAAGCACAGGACAAAATTCTTTGAAAGACACCCTTTTGCCAACAGTATCAGGTTCTTCAATGTATTGCCTGAATCCTGGAGCAAGGCAACGAAAAATTATCAGAATAACATAGGGCCGACAAAAAGGTTCCTTTTATGAAATGCGGTTTTTACGACATGCTTCAATAAAACAATTTATTATTTAAATGAAAACTACCGTGAGTTAGGACAAAATTTTGTATTGCTTCCAAAGAGGAGATTATAAGCTTTCTTATGATATCAAAATCGTTTCTTAAAAGACCAAAACGATATGATTAAAAAAAGATGTGTGAAACGAAAAACCCCGTTTTTATGTGTATTTGGAATTTTCAAAACAGTTTTTCACAAAATGGCCCTTTTCCTTTAAAGTGTTATAACTTTAACAACGACAAAATCATTCATGCGAGGGACTTGCACCAATCGATTTGGAATTTAATAAGGAATTCAAATATATGTATAACTCAAAATATAAAATTCCCGGCAAGAGGTCCCTATTCGCTTTCCACATCACATATATAGATTTATATATATATATATACGTCCGTGAATGCAATAACATGAATAGTTATTTTTGTTAGATTTTGATTAAATTTGGTTTATGTGTAATGTCATAGATAAAACATAGGCCCACTCTGTGAACCAGCATGATCGGATCATGGGAACGGGGGTTTTAATGGGGTAAAATATGTTTTGACCCTCAAAACAAAAAAATCCCAATTTCTCTCTAGACCTTTTTAAAAAACTAATAATTTAGAACATCAAAGTGTTTTTGTATGGTAACAGAGAACATTTAAAAAATTGTTAATTTAAAATTAGGTAGCGCCATAGTGCCTACCATGTTATTCTTAAGAAGAATATTGTAAAATGTTGTAGTTTGCTTATTTATGGATATATTTTGATCAAACTAGGGAAATTTATTTATTTTTGTAATAAGCTATTAAAATTTTATAAAAAAAAAACAAAATTTGTTTCGTTCAAATTCATGTAGGCCTATATATGGGTATATATAGATATGTTTATTCGAACGAGTTACCGAACCAGCATGATCAGACTATGGGACCGGAGGTTTATGGGGGGTTTTATAGGGTAAAAATTGGGGTTTTCCTATTTTTTTACTCTAAAATTATAAAATTTTAAAATTTTTTTCTAGACGGATTTGTAGAGCTTAAAAAATTTATTATTATTAGTAATTAATAAATTACCAGTTACGGAAGGTAATTAAAATAAAACTTTAAATTAAGAAAAATACCCATGTTATTCTTATATAGAATTAATAAAATGTTGTAGTATGCTTGTTTATGGACATATTTGAATCAAATTTATAATTTTGTTTATTTCATACTAAGCTATCAACATTTTAATAAAAAAACACACCTCAATACCTTTCCTGTAGCAACAAACCCAGGTACTCATTAAAATTAATGTTATTTAAATAAGAAAAATCTGACAATTTTCAGGGAATATTTTAGTAGAAATACAGCCAGGTAAATGGAAAACAATTTTTGCACCAAAACTTCATGTGTACTAAGTTTAAGTGTTGTGAGTATTGAAATAAATGGGAAATAATATTCTAAGCATGAATATATTACTTTAGCTAAAAATAAATTGGGAAAAAATAGGTAAGTTCGTAATAATGCATAATAAGCCCAATAATAACGCATTATGCATGAGGATGGGCGCTGCTTGTCTTTTAGTCTTTTGTAACCTGACACGCTAGAACGGGCTCTGCCCGTCTTTAGGCGGGAATGGCCGAATGGGTTTAAATATATAGATTCCATGATCTATAGTAATTTTGTTTAAAGTTTTCATGGCATAGGTTGGTAATTTTAAAATCAGCTGAATGAAAAACATTCTTTTAATAAATAAAATAATGCATACATTAGTACATTAGGTTTATGTGACAGGATTCTCAGGGCCCCTGGGCAACCATAGTGCCGGGCCCCCAAGCCCCCCTCCCCAATCCCTTGCTTCACATCCTTGGCAGCTTGTCGAAGCCTCCGGGCCGCCTGTCTACTCAGGCCCTGCGCAATGGACCCAGCCCCCCTGTCACCAGCATTGTGATTAGTTCTCCTCTTGAGCTGAATAAAAACTTTGTTTATTTGGGAAAGGAAAATGTTTGTTTGGGAAGGAAAAAGTTTGTTTAGGTAAAGAGTGTTTATGACAGGAAAAATCATATGTTTTGCTGGATTGATTAGAAATTGACAATTTCAGGTAGTTCAGCTGGACGGAAATGTACTATTTTCGTTAACAGAGTGATGAAATTTCAATGCTGACTTGCCAAAACATTTAAGTGCATTTGCTGGAGAAAAACTTGCTTCCCCATCAAGCTATCTAAATTATGACTCCCAGCCTTCCATCCCCTTGTGGCACCTATGGACTTGATTTCATACCCTACATCCCTCTCTCCAACAATCTTACAAGTCCAGATATGCTAAGCTATTCTATGACTAGTGACTGCTGGTGCCAGTAGGCGTGATACTGTCCACTGAGAGACTAGAGGTTCGTGGGGGCTTGTCAACATGGACAGCTAGCTCAGCCAAGTTGAAGTATGCAGTGTATTCCACAGTGGCTGGGGTGGTGTCGTAGTGGTAGTGACCTCCCTCTCCATGCTGGCTGAATGAGTGGAAGTGTTGCAGAATCATATCCATGTCCTGAACAAATTAATAAATTACAGTGCAATGGAAACGTGTAATGGGTTTTCCGTTGGAATAAGTAAATAAATTAATAAATCACTGAGTCTGAGTTGGTCGACCAACATAATTTTTACTTTCATGCCACGGACCCCCCCCCCCTTGTTTCGGGTCTGTCTGAACATAAATACCTTATAGAATGCTCTGAAAGTGTCAGTGTTTTAAAAGCTTTTTAACTACACTATTATTCCAATTGTGATTAAATATAGCACATCTGCATTCCAATTAGAAATGTTTGTAATATAAACTTATATTAGTCAATATTCATTTGTTTATTTCAAATTAAACATTGACAATCAGCATGCAAAGCTTGTGATGTATAGACGGAAAGTGTCAAGATGTTAAAAAAAAAACTTACAAGCGAAGACATACTCGTTATATTATACAAAACTCGGAACGACAAAAAATAAAATCTTGCTGTCTATACACATTCGATTTATTAGAGACTTTGTGCTTAAATATTTCAACTTTAATTCTATGTTTTATGGTAGTTTGTAAAACAGTTTTACCCTCCTGTAGCATTTCCAAAAAATAATTTACATTTACGGTATCAGTTTTGTTAGAATTAAATATGGCGGTTCATGAGTCTTTTATTTGATCTTACAAACAACTCTTACAACAAACTTCAACTAAATACACTCAAAACAAACAAATTATATGACAAAATTACAATTTCAGTTTTCATGAAAAAACCACAAAGTTCAAAATTTATTAACACTTACCATTTGGTCAGTGAGAATAGTTCCTACAAAAACCAGTGGTGGATTCATGTCAAAAAACTTCAGCCAGTTATTCAATTGCTCTGATGTATTGATTGGTACTTTGGAAAATTCTTTTGGAGGAATATGTTGTCTAACTTTGCTGCCCTCCACAATGAACACTCCACCAAGTCCTGTGAAGCAGAGTTTTAATAAGAGTTGTTTAAAGTTTTTTGGTAGATAGGTATATGTTTGGATAACCATGAATCTAAAAAAAAAACAGTCCATTTCAAGTTATGTATATCTGAGAGTGTAGCTGGGTGTGGTTGAGTGTCTATGGACACTGGGTAATGGATGTGTGTGTACATGAAATAAAGTTACTACTAAACTGTGATTGAAAACAAAATTGAGAAAGAAACTTACCTAAGTGTTGATTTTGAAACTCTTGAGCCAAGCACTTTCTTACAGCAGCTGGAAAATCATAATTTTTCAGTCTCTTTTTGCAGTGAATTCTTAGAACCTGAAAAAAAAACATTTATATGTTAAGTTATTTTTGCAAATATATAGTGAGAAAAGTGAGCAATTGACTCACTCGAGAGAAATCCTTACTTACCTAAATCGGACCCTTACTTACGGAAATCCTTACTCGCCTACGGCTCGTGAGGAATGGTTTCTCGAGTGAGGCAATTGTACTTTGCACTCGAGTTGCACATTATACTTTTCCTACAGTTACCATAAAACAAATAAATTTGTGAAGAAACATAACCTATTTTTACACAGAAGTGAACTTTTAATATAACATTTAATGTGAAGTGACAAATACAACAGTACAACAGCTGACCAGCTGATTTACAGCCAGTGCTGCCAACGTATTTCGCACGCATACGACGTTGCCTGCATGTTACGCGCTCACTATTTCGTGCCTTCACGTTGCAAATCTGGAGTGAGACAAAGTAATTAGAGTGAGACAATGTTAACATTGTCTCACTGATGAGCGAACTGGCCACTTTGCTTTCTCAAATCAGTGAGAGGACATGTACATTGTTAGGTAACTGTAGGAAAAATAATTTACACCAGATTTAGAAAACAATCTAATAAATAAAATAGACTTAAATTGTCCTAATTATAAAATATTGATTCATATACATGGTGGAAATAAAGTCCCAAAACAAAACAGTTAAATATTTCAAAAACTGGGTATTAAAATAGTCAACATTATTCAGTGATATGCTTCAGGGGGACGACCTAGGAGTCAGAAGAAAATCTTAAATAAAAGCATAGGTGTAATGCTATTATATGCACATCATGCTAGTGTACTTTCGTAGGGGGCGCTTGTTATAAGTCGGAAGAAAATCATAAGTGTAAGAATTTTTTAGTAGAACGAACACAATGGCAGAAATTTAAGCTTAAAAGAAAAACTGAGTAAAAATGGCAGACATTAAAAAATGTCTTGAATCTGCCATTTTGAACCTTTGAACGGCTGCCATTCTTTACTCAGTTGTTCTTTTGAGTTTAAATTAGTGGCACTATATAAAATACCCCCGCCGCAGCAAACCTGCAGACTAAGCGAATTTCCATTTGCCTGATTAGGTTTACACTAAAATGTCTCCTTAAAAATATCACTTTTATTCCCTATTTAAATAGAATCAGTTTAACACATACGTAGGTTTGCTGCAACAGGGAGGGTAAAACTGTTTTTTATGTAAAATGTTAATAGTTAGTAAGAAATAAAAACATTTTCCAAATTTGGGCAAAATATGTTAATAAACAAGCAAATTACAACAGTTTACTTATTCTCCATAAGAATAACATGGGAATTTTAAATTAAAAATTTTTTGGAATTTTCTCCGTAACCATTAGGCGCATTATAACGCTTCAATATACTAAATTATTTGTTTTTTTAAGCTCTACAAAATAGTTTGGAAAGAAATTGCAAAATCTTATGTTTTTTGGGTCAAAAATTGGAAAAACCCATTTTTACCCCATAAAAGCCCCCATAAACCCCCGTTCCTATGGTCCGATCATGCTGGTTTGCGAACTCGTTCGAATAAACGTAGGTTTACACGTTTGTACCGAATTTCATCAAAATCGGATCATTTTTGCTCGAGTTATCGCGCTAACGGACACATATATATATATATACTAGCTGACCCGGCGAACTTCGTATCGCCTAAGTTATAGGTTTCCCCTAAGACAGACCGATGGAAAGAAAGTACCGTTACGTTTAATTTTCAAGATGATCTCGTTCGCATCGCTCAATCACGTCCTGGTTGAAGTTCGTTCGCTACGCTCACTCACCTTTGGGTTGGAGCTCGTTCGCTACGCTCACTCACCTTTAGGTTGGAGCTCGTTCGCTGCGCTCACTTGCCTTCAGGTTAGCTCGTTCGCTACGCTAACTCGCCTCCAGGTTGAAGTTCGTTCGCTACGCTCACTCACCTTTGGGTTGGAGCTCGTTCGCTGCGCTCACTTGCCTTCAGGTTAGCTCGTTCGCTACGCTAACTCGCCTCCAGGTTGAAGTTCGTTCGCTACGCTCACTCACCTTTTGGTTGCAAATTAGCTGTTGTCATAAATGTAAAAGAAATAATAGTGCTGCACCCTGTTGGTAATCCTTGTAACTTTAATGCTATTGAACATCATAGAACAGAACCAACTTGTTTAATTGAAACAGCTGTTAAGATTCATTAATTCCATTTCTCATAAGGTTAACATGGGAAACTCCAGAGCCACTGGGGCGGAGCCCTTTTAAGAATTTCGAAACGGGAAATAGTTTACGTCCGATTCGCATACCTACAGAATTTACACACCAAATTTCATAACGATCGGTGAAGTCGTTCCGGAGGAGTTTGCAGACAAACACTGTGACACGAGAATTTTATATATTAGATATATATATATATATATATATATAAATATACATATATATATGAATTTGAACGGATGGTGTTTTTGGCCTCTAGGGACCTCAAAACGAAAAAAAAAATCGGTCCCGGGTCCAGGTCTTACCATGAGTACTACGGTAATAGCTTATTCCCTATATGGGAAATTCGCTAATAGGAAAGACCTTTAATTTATGTGTATAACAACCTATGCTTGCATTTAAGAGGTTCATCCGTCTCGTCTCCCAAAGGCCCTAAGAGCATATCACTGTATAATGTTTTAAAATAATTTTAATGCCCAGTAACTTTGTCCCAAGCTTTGTAGCTCTATCTTTATTATATTTTGTAATATTTAAATGTCCAACACCTTTCCCCCACCCTGTATATAAAATACAACAAATAACTGTTTGTCATCATAAAATTCTTATAAAACGTTAATTTGTACTTTCTTCCCCTATCATAGGATATGGAGGAAGTATTGTTAGAAATTATGTGTCAACTAAATGTTGTAAACTTTTTGTATACCTTTCCTGGTTTTCCATGAGATACAAACAAATTTGCCATCAAGACAAACTTTGTCTCATTTGCAGGAAGAAGTTCCACAATGTAACCTCTGTCATTCTCATCTGTTACTTTAGCTATCCGGTTTAAGATCTTGACTTCTTTTTTAGACAAATAGGCATTTGCCAAGAGCTGAAAAACATGAGGAGTATGATTAGTTCTTTAGAATGTGTCAGTTTGATGGATCCGTAAATGAGGCTATGGTATACAATAGCTTGCCGTTTCCAGTGAACATTACAATACTCTATCAACTTGTTTAAGCAATTGCTATTTTTAATAAAACATTCCACAAGCTGTGTAAAGAAAACCTTATCAAAATGCTATGATGTTTAAAGAGTACCAAAAACATTTCAATAATATTGAACAACTGTATTTCATAGTAAAAATCTGTCTATATTTCAATCTTAAACTGTATTCCAGCTATATAACCTCACAGCAGCAGTGTCCCTGAGTGAAAGGGCCGGCTCCTGTCCCTATGAATGCAGCAGACTGCAGTCCCAACAAGTCTGGGAAGTATCTTAGGTCGTAGATCTTATCAGGCTGGTACAGGGGCATAAAGTGGGACACTCCCCCCACCTCCACCACCCGAGTACTGCCGCACAGGCCTGGCACACCACAAGAAATATTAAAATTAACCGATAACTGATTTGAATAACCTTGGCTGCTAAGTTGTATAAAATCCTTAAATAGAATACCAGTATTTACAGTGAAACTTTTCTTCAGGTGATCACTATCATATATCCTTCATTCTGAGTTAAGTTTAGAATTAAGACAAACACACTCATGGGCAAGAACACACACAAAAAATACTCATCCAACTTTCTTCCTTTGGTCTAGACTCAACTTCCCCCTATAGTTCATTTGGCTGAAATGTTTCTGTGTCTGTGTCCATGTGTATGCCCGATTGTTCTTTAAATTCGAAATATGGGCTTGCAATGACTGAAAACATTGAGTGAATGTTTAGTGTAATGTATTTTCTTGCCATACTACACTGTTTTAATGGACTCCCCACACAATGATTTAGTCCAGTAAACAGCTGTTTGCCACCTGCTTGATCAGATGGGAAAGATGGGATTTCATTTCGTACTACTGTACTTTAAATTCATTGTTAAACCCCTGAGCTGTAGATAACTATGGTATTGTAAGAACAAATTACTTAAGTCAATAGCTCAATATTGGATGGTGAATTACAGTCATAACATGATAACATGTTTCAACACACTGTGTCATCATCAAGCTGAGTACTTTTACATGTGAAATGTTTTATTCCACCAAATGGCTTCGTCATGGTTCAATAAATTAACAAATAACACACGTAAATGACAAGGACAAGACACCTTAACATTTAAAATTTAAAACACGTATAGAAACGTTGCAGGTTTGCTTGGACGAGAATACAGTCTCACCGCGGGTCAGGGACATAGTCTCGGGCGTGCCACTGTATGTTCGTCCAAGCAGGCCTGCAACGTTTCTTTAGGCGTTTTGAATTTTTAGGTGTCTTGTCGTTTACAAGTGTTATTTGTTAATTTATTGAACTATGACGAAGCAGTTTGATGGAATACAACACTTCACAAGTTAAAGTACTCAGCTTGATGATGACACAATGTGTCAAAACATGAGATCTGACTGAAATTCACCATCCAGTATTGAGCTATTGATGTAAGTAATTTGTTCTTACTACTGTACTGTAATGAATATTTACTGGACACCACCTGATCATAATTAACAATTAACTATTGGTTATAAGCAAAAACATAACCTCTCTAACAGGTAATGAGTAGGTATTGATTGCTGAGTCCTTTAGTCAGTGAGAATATATAGGTTTTTTTTTTTATTAGGTTGGGGGTAGTAAGCAGAAATAGCATACGTCACGTGTCAAAATATGTGTTTACAGTACTTGACTTTGTCTCGGACAGGAACAACCATACTCGTCCGGTAAAAATTTTCTAGACTAGTAAGTTTAACATACTATAATATTAGACATTACTATTTAGTCAGCATCGAAATTGAGTGAAAAGCATTTTGTAGTGTACCAGTTGTAAGAATATGGCTTAAAAATAGCAACAACCAATAAATATGTACAGCTTTGCTTTTCTTTAAATAGAAAATAGAGTTAAGTTTATGAGTCATGAAGCAGTTTAAATTTTCAACTAATGAAATTGTCAAATACAAATGAAAAACCAATGAGCTTAAACTGATTTAATTTTGAATTTTTGAATCAGAAAAGGGTTTAAAACCGCAAAAGGATTAGCAAATGTGTCACATATCAATACCTACAAATGTTGGGTCCAAAGTTTACTGGACTTGAATGTTTTAAATTTAATACTTCTATATAACAGTATTTTTTAAATAAAGCTGAAGAGACTTACCTGGGGCTGCCAGACAGTAAGGCGCAGATGTGAGATCTGGACAATCCACAACTTCTACTTCAACTGACTCAAAGTAGGAAGTCAATCCTTTTTGGAGAGCTATGCATTCACACATATATTAAAATTACAAACAGGGTTGCTTTACAATTAGGTTTGAGCAAGAACTAAACCATATTCATCCAGCAGCAAAACCATATAATATAACTGGTTGGTCTTAGCATTTTTTTTCATTTTTATATTATTGGTTTTAAGAAAAAACCTTACTGTTTTTAATGTTAATTAAGTCGTCAGTGTATATTTCAATTCACTGTTACCCATTTTGTCCCAGTTGTAAAGCGACTTCACTTGAGTACTCTTCATACATTTAACAAAATATTTTAAAACTAATAGAGTGTAAATGAAGGTTCCGGTGCCCACCGCTAGGAGTGCTGTTTGGTTATGGCGCACACTGCTGCAGGTGAGGAGCGCAGGAGCCCTATGCTACCAGCAGACTGCAGCAGTGTGCGCCGTAACTACACAGCATTCCTAGCAGTGTGTGCCGGAACATATGCTAATCGCAGCACTGCTGCCGGTCTTTATTTATTCAATTTGAATTTGTCTATGGTTTCACTATCGTACACCACTAATCCCAGTAAAGTTAACTTTTGACAAAAAATTGCTATAAAAATATTTTTTTACACTCACCTTGGGCTACATTTTGAAGCGGAGGTAATGTCAGCTTCTTTTTCTCTATTTTTAGAGTCTTTGGATTTTGAACCATAATTAGCTACTGTGAATAACACTGTAAAACTGCAGCTGATATGACAAAGCTGAGATATCATGAAGGTTATCAGTCAGATGACATTTTATTATTTGGCAAAACAAAACAAACAGTCACAGCAACATTACATGACTGATCCAACTCTTCTACAAATAAATTCTCCTGTGATGAATAGATTTTCGTGTGAAAGTCACATTTTAGAGATGAGTCATTGTCAATGCAATATTAAAGCAAGGATTATTAGCAGCAATGACAAATTCTAGCTTATCAATCCATGGTATCTCCAGACGTTTTTATTTTAGTTGATTTTTTTAATGGTGATTATTCTGCAAAATAAAAAATAATGAATATTCAAATAACAGCATGAACGGTTTTGATTAAAATTTAGTATGTTATAGTCCTTTTAACACTAAACAAAATGGTACAAAACCCCCATTGTTGTAGAAATTAAGGTTTAAATTAAAAGTTATCACAACTTTTGTGATTTTCCCAATAAAAATCATAGTTACTTCCACTGCTTACCCATGATAAGGGTTGTTGAGAAGCGAATGGGAGAAAGCATGTGTCAGATTGCTGATACCTTATATTTATTTTGGTATTGTTGGCTGTGTCAGTAATGCGTGTTATTTTAATCGGTTTACAAGACATAATTTTAAATAAAATGTTCTATAAACGGCACCAATACTTCTTGAGTATGTTATATTTTTTATAGAATTAGGTTTTTTAACATGTTTTAGACAGTATTTTATAATATTAATATTATTAAAGTAAACAAAAACTGTTTTTGAATTTTGTTTACATTCCAAACAAAAAATACACCAATGAGATGAACGCTCGGTCCCCTGGTACCCTAAGTTAAGATCTTAAGACCCAAAAGATATTGTCATTGACTAGATTATTTTTATTAATCACCTGTGATATTACTTAGTGTAGCCTTAAGGCCTAGTGTAAGACTAAATTACTTACGTAATTCCCGTCACAGCTCAATAAAATATGTCTATTCAGGACATGTTTCGGTGTTAAAACACCATCGTCAGCTTCAGGTACATAGTGTAGAGTTGATCAGTTGTTAACATCGTCAGAAGAATAAATAAACACAGTACGGACACGAATAAATACATAAAACAGTTAAACATTTAAAAAAAATTTTTAAATTTTAAATGTTTAACTGTTTTATGTATTTATTCGTGTCCGTACTGTGTTTATTTATTCTTCTGACGATGTTAACAACTGATCAACTCTACACTATGTACCTGAAGCTGACGATGGTGTTTTAACACCGAAACATGTCCTGAATAGACATATTTTATTGAGCTGTGACGGGAATTACGTAAGTAATTTAGTCTTACATTATGTCCAACAGCTCAGGGGCTACACACATGGATTTAAATTAAGGCCTAGGTTAAACCTTAAGGCTAGTGTAGATAGATAGCGACAGGTGAACACTGAAAATATCTTCTGTGGTTATGTAACAGTAGACACCTCAGCTACTGGAGGTTTCTGCACTGTGACATAGTTCAGGATTAAAACTCAGCACTCGCTTACAAAACCCAACTTTATTATTACCCAAAACAAAACAAAGATAAGTAACAGTCAAAAAGGTAGAGTTTAGTTGAACTGTTTAAATCATTTGGTTAGAAACTGAAACCCCAATTTTGAAAACCCTTAACATTGTCACACCTGGATCCAAGGGACGCCGCGTCGCTGAATCTGTTGACTTTTTCTACGACAGTATGGCGACTCAGGAGGATTGCTGGTCCACATGAATGAACCACCTAATTTATTATTGTTATTTCCTTTATATATATTTTATTGCTTGTTACTTCTTTTGTTACTTCATTGTTGAATATATATTGACCGTTTCTTTTTCTCTGTAGAAACTTTAGTTGCAAACATCCATTGAATGTTCAGATTTGCTTCACTTTTTTTGTATCTTGTTATTATTGTTGTTGTTGATATCTATTTATATATTTATTGCTATATATGTACACATATTTCTGGGTATATTTATTGTGCAAAAATGTATTTGAATTATATGTTACAGTTATTTAAAAGAAATGTAATTATGTTTAGTTTATACATTTGGAGATGTCCGTTGGTAAGTAGAATAAATAATAAATCAATAATTCTGATCATCTACCGCAGTTGTTTGGACATCATCGTCGTATCCAGCAGTCACAGAAACGTTATCTTCATCATCCACAACTGTGGTGCAAGCATGGATTTTTGGATTGCATTATCTTCACAAACGAATTGAGTATCGGTATCAGCATTGATTCTTGACGATCGATTCTCAATACTGACACCATGTCCATAAAGCGGTGGTATTGAGAATCGACACATGCCTATTTTTAATTAACCTATGACATGAGCCTAGGCAGTTATGTTTGACTACAAAATTAATCTTTCCTGTTTTGATTAGATTTTTGTTAAAGAGAAACATACAACAGTAAAACAAGTACCTAACTCAGAAGCCTGAGGATTTAACAATAATAGACACAGAATATTGTCTACCAGAATGTATTTGTTGACTTTTAATACACTCGTGTTTACAAGCCCAAGAGTTTCAATTTTAATTTTTAAGTCTGCTTAGAACAATTTATCTTTTTAGGCAAAGTTTCAATTAATTTTACTGTGAATTCAGATGTCCATACTAACATAACCGGTAATTTTAGCTAAAAATTATACAAATTAAATTTTATGTAAGCCATGTCATATTATTTTTACTAAAGCTAGACATTTAAGGATATAAATAATACTTCTCAATAACAATTTTATGAAAATTTATTTTTTTGTTCAATATAAACAAATTACATGATAAAAAGTAAACATATACCATAAAATAGCCTTAATTCTTTTGTGATATTATAAACTCTAAAAATATCACTAACTCCTGTTAAATATCAGTTAACAATAAAAAGAAAATAATAAACAACTACGTCATCTAGGATAACCTTTAAGTTTCTTTGGAATGTCAACAGAAGTGTCTATGAACTATTGAGTTCTGTAGTTACACCTTACACAAAATTTATTATTTAATTAAAGTAATTAAAAATATAGTTATCAAATGTTTTATAAAAATATAACAACTTTTTTGTAAATTTTTATTACTGCTGCAATTAAACTAGAACTTTAAAAACTAGTATTGCTTTGTTTCAGAAACCGTTGACAAAATTAGTTAAAGTTTGTCTTTGTGGTAGATGTCATGTAAACCATCAAATTAAATTAGTTCAAATCAATGACAATTTTTCTATCCATAAATTAAATATTCTTTTACAGTACTGGTAACCCACAAATATAAAACAAATTTAAAGTAGGAAAGACTTAATGGAATGTCTACGATCTACATCCAACTAAAAGCTTTAATTATTATAAATTAAACTCGAAGTGCAGAAAATTAACATTAAATTTTCTAATTATTACACATAAATTTGATCTATCAAAGTCAAATTACTTAAACCCATTCTTCCACAGGATATTAAATGCTTTATAAATGCAAAATAAAATAAATAACCGTCAACTAACTGCCTAGTATCCTTTATAAATCATACTTAAGTCTGGAAAACTGTAGGCGTAACTAAAGATACAAAAAAGAAAGACAGAGAAGAGATAATGTAATGATTACAACAACAGTTGAAGCTAAGGACACACCCATTCATTTGTAAGCATTTAGGTAAACCATAAAAACTGACATTAAACACATCAAAATGAACTATGTTTTGTAGGTGGTATTATATTACAAAATGAATCAAATAAATCCTTTACTTACATTACAAACACTCTTCAACTTAGATTTCTATAATCCGATAAATCAGACCTTTAAAAAAGAACAATTTATTTACCGTAAACAAACTTCCTGTAAACACTGTAGCGTTTAAATAAGATAACTAATAACTGAGGGTTCAGACTGTTAAATTGCTAACTTTGGTGTTTAAATTCATCTTGTTTGACTAGAGAGAAAACTAAAACAGTCTGTTGGAAGGTTAACAAACACTAAGTCAAATTTGAACATGTATGAGTAACATTTTACACTAAAATTTTATAAAAATAGCTTCCTTAATTTTTTTAAAACTAATTTCCTGTACATCTAACAGCTACTGGTACCCAGAGTCATGTTGAAAAACATCATGTAGCTTATTATTAGTCTTTTGCATGATAGTGTTCAGCTAGCGTATGAAAATACTAGAGTTCAGGAACTTACAAATTTATTTAAATTTGACGCTGTAACATTTCTTGATGAAATTGTAATAAAGGAATTGTCTATTGTCTATTGTCTACATAAACAGATACACATACTAAAGATATTGTATTGTGACTTTAAACTTTATCTCTCAGGTAAGCTTGGTGAACATAAAACAAGAGTTATGTCTTGTGACCTTTTAAACAAGAACACTTAATTTTGTTGAAGGAAATCCCTCCAGTATAAAAACTTGTGTCTTATTAAATTAACTCTTCACAAAATATTTTGGCAGGAGTATTTTTTAAGGATGCTAAGCTAAAAAAAATTATAACTATTTTCTACCTATCCACATTATCAACTAATCATAAAAATATGCATAACAAGTACAGTATACTTCCTCTCTTTTATCAATGACCACCAATATACGACATACATACTTCCGTCACTTAGTTCAAAGCCACACAGATAAGCCACAAATTGCTGATGAAACGCTGATCTGTACATATGCTGTTGTTCGTGTTGTATTTTTTTAGTTGTTTATGGTACTGTGGTTAACTAATTTTGCGCTCATAATGTGAAACGTATCCATTCATTTTTGTACTAACCTCAGATGGTTCGATTCATTTTAGTTCAGACGAGGTTCTAGTCCCAAGGTATCTGAATGTTATGAAGTCTACTGTACCCTGTAATTCAGAAATTCAAGTCCCACTAGAAGTTAGCCATAGCCTGGAATACGAGAAGTGAATCTGGTGAAGTGACAGAAAGCTTCAGCGTTTCTTGACTGCCGAGAAAGATGACTGATCCTCGACGAAGAATGATTGAGGGGTTGTTGACGTTGTTGGTGAATGCTTCCGCAGTCCCAGAAACAACCAGACAGATAGACGCAGACACGCGGGGAGTCAGTGTGTGTGAGCCTTGCGCAGGAACCTAAATCACAATGGAAAATGGTACAATGGTACTTTGATGCTACAGTAGAGTCCCGCAAACTCGGCGTAACGTGGATTGGAAGGGTGCCAAGTTTGTGAAATGCCGGATTATTGGGAACTAGGGTTAAAAATAAGATCAATACAATTTTAAAGCTTTTCAACCGCCTTTTTTATATAACAAGCCAGTATTAAGTGATCAGATATAGTACAACAAATCCTTGGTACAGAGTTGTGAATTATATGACTTGACCTGGCTTGAGTCAATGTTTAACTCGGACTCAAAAAATCACTAATTATCTTAGCCAGGTGATGGCCGAGTTTTCCAGACTGCCGGGTTATCGAGTGCCGAGTTTGCGGGATTCTACTGTAATTGAACTATTTGAACCCTAAAAAACTGTCCACACTAAATGTAAGGAGTGTGTGATGTGTAAAAAAAAAACTTTAACTATTTTAAATTTTAAATCAAATTTTCCCACAAATCTCAAAGACTTCACCAAATTAAATTATTTACCAAAAAATATCTTATCCATTTTACTCACACAAATTACAGCGACCGCAAAGTCAGGCACTGGTGGTCGGAACACAGTGGTGAACTGGTCCTCAGTCTGTCCTGGGAACAGCTTGTTGTCAGCTGGCTCACAGATGTACGACAGCAGACGACACAACGTCGGGACGTCTTTCAACTTGGGTGTCAGTCCTGCACGCACGGTGTTATCTGAACATGCCATACACTCCACACAATCTGTGGGCATAAATGTTGGTAACAGTTAGGCCTACTTTCACTCTACTTTAAATTGTGATTAACGTACATGTAATTGTTGTAATAACTCCGCCAATGCAAACCTGCAAACTAAGCGGAACCATAGATAAAACATACTCCCTTAGTAGATTTCTCATCCTTAAATGGAACAGCTGAAGACAATTTTATTGTTAGTTCTGTACGGTTTATGTAGAGGTCGTGTTTTGTTTACAATTTGTTTCCCGTCATTACAGCCATTTAAAACCTCGTTTAACCAAATAATACAATCTAATCATAAACAATAACTTGTCCCCTAGTTATATAACCAAACAGTTAAGCACAAATCAAGAAATTAACCCTAAAATAATAGAAACAAAATGTCGTCGACACTAGCGCCCAGTGTGGCGTACATGAACTAGACATGAAAAACGAGCTTCAAAATTTACAATGGGATAAGAAGTCTACTTGTGTTGGTTAGTCTATGGCGGAACTCCACTTTGCCTGATCGGATGTTTACTAAAATATTGCCTTTAACATTTGAGATTCATTCCCTATTTAGATATCGTTAGTTAAATAAGAACTTAGGTTACAATTACAGCTACAGGCAAGGAAAAAGTGGTTAGTATTAATAGGAATTAATAGGGCCTAGTAGCCTATTAAATAAATAAATTTGCAAAGAATGATCAAAATATACCCATACACAAGCAAACTACAACAACAGTTAAATTATTCTTTGTAAGAACAACATGAGAATTTAAAATGTACAGTACTGTATTTTAAATTTTCCCCGTAATCTTTGAACCCTTACCGCACTGTAGACGAATATACTCGCCGAAATTCCATTTGCTCAAAGCGCTATGGACGACTATACTCGCCTTATAATACAGAGTGCAGCAGCTATTGGGGAACATCTCGAAAATCACAATAAAAAAATTCCCCCTCCTCTGATTGTTCAAAATGGCGGCGCGCTACGATTACCGGTCTCTGCTATGAGAAATGCCAGTGCTGTGGACAGACTAGAACTCACATGTGTTTAGTTAACTCAGACTCCACCGGAAACCTTATTCTCCGCTGTGACCGCTTTATTGTTATTATCTTCTATATATATATAAAATCCAATGTATGTTTGTTTGTATGTTTGTATGTTTGTTTGTTTGTCCTTTATGGACTCCGAAACCGCTAGACAGATTGTAATGAAACTTTCAGGCATTATTAAGAATTATTCAAGGATGGTTTGTTTGTGGCATAATGGTGCCACATTTTGGTGACCTGGTCGTGTGAATTAAATTCCAGACCAAATCGTTCTTGTTGGAAACGTTAACTGAACACATTTATTAATACAGAGGCTCGACAATTTACCGCAATTCACAGGCCCTAAGAGCCAGCTTTGATGATTGTTTGATTAAATAATGCATTTATATCTCAGAAATATCTTGATTGTTCAACATATGAAATAATTACTATGTAAGTCAACTAGACACAACGTGAATTAACATTTGAATTAAATACGAATAACTAATGATGGAATAAATGACATATTGGATTTCCCTACATGATCTGAAATTACATATTAACAAATACTACTACTACGACACAATACCTCAAGGGGGCGTCCCCCCGTTTCCCACTAATTTAGAGATCCATCTTGTCCGAACGAAGGCAGGCACACGACAGAGCGTCGGTTCCCTGCTTTTTCCCGCCTGCCCCCTGCGCATGCGCGAGCAGCTCTGGGGTTGAGACTAGGCGGGACATTTAAATACTGGTTGTGTTGTGGAGATTGACACCACATGTTTGAAGTTTAAACAAACCAAATAACGTTTAAATAAACGCCCCAGTAGTTTACTATGTTAACCTTATGAGTACTCATATTTAAATGGAATTAAAGAATCTTAACAGCTGGTTCAACTAAACAATTTGATTCTGTGATGTTCAATAGCATTAAAAAGTTAATAGGTTTACCAACAGGGTGCAGCACAATTTTTTTTTTCATTAATGAGAAGAGCTAATTTGCAACCATCAGGTGAGTGAGCGTAGCAAACGAACTTCAACCTGGAGGCGAGTTAGCGTAGCGAACGAGCTAACCTGAAGGCAAGTGAGCGCAGCGAACGAGCTCCAACCTAAAGGTGAGTGAGCGTAGCGAACGAACTTCAACCAGGACGTGATTGAGCCAGGGTCAATCCATATCAAGTGGTCCAGAAATAAATTAATTGGTTGCTTCAAGATTTTTAATTTTTTTCATATTTTTATCCTTAAAAGTACATATCATTAGAAGTACAAAAATACAATTATTTTATTTTTATTTTATTTTCCTACTGTATGGCGGCCATTTTTTTTATAGTCGAATACCCGTTTTCAGCGATTTCAGAGCTCTACGTTAAATTAAATATCTCTGGTTCTACTAATCCTAGAACATTAAAATAAAAACCAATCTCTTCAGAAAGATCTAAACTTTAATATGGTAATATAGTTATGCACTTAAAACTAAATATATAGGTATAAATACCTGTTTAAAGTTTAACGCAACGATGTTACGAAAACAGATTTTTAACAATTTATTTTTTCATAAAGGCAATTGACTATGTGTTTGTTATTTTTTTATCTGATAGTTATAGGTGTGTACTCCAAATTATCAAAGTTTCAAGTTGTGGACATGCATAGGGTTTTAAATATAAATTTTCAAAATCTTAAAATTTTCCAAATTTCAAAAGTTTGACGCTTAATATCTCTGTTGGGCATGAAAATAAAAATTTCAAATTTGGCTCAGATATAGTACTAAGTAAGAGTATTATCCTGTAATAATTTTATTTTGTAACATCGTTGCGTTAAACTTTAAACAGGTATTTAGACCTATATATTTAGTTTTAAGTGCATAACTATATTACCATATTAAAGTTTAGATCTTTCTGAAGAGATTGGTTTTTATTTTAATGTTCTAGGATTAGTAGAACCGGAGATATTTAATTTAACGTAGAGCTCTGAAATCGCTGAAAACGGGTATTCGACTATAAAAAAAATGGCCGCCATACAGTAGAAAAATTAAATAAAAATAAAATAATTGTATTTTTGTACTTCCAATGATATGTACTTTCAAGGATAAAAATATAAAAAAAATTAAAAATCTTGAAGCAACTACCTTTGGACCACTTGAAATGGATTGACCCGCCATGCAAACGAGCTCATCTTGAAAATGAACGAGCATTTGACATAAAACCACAATAGGACAGAACGACGTCTGTCGGGCCAGCTAGTATTATTATAATTATAAAAAATAATCAGCTTTACCAATTAGAAAAAATATTTGTTAGGTGTATGTAGCGTTATGGTCAAGGCTATCCAACAAATCTGCAGCGATGTAAGGGTTAATCGTACAACAACGCTTTAATATACTAAATTATTGTTTGTTTTTCTGCTCTATACAGCAGCAGTAATGAGAATTTGGCATTTTTATGCTTAAAGGGTAAACATTTAAATACACAATGTATGAAATGTTTTACAACTCAATAACACCTCCCTCCCGCAACCTGTTATTACTGGTTTGCAAACTCATCCAAGTATATCCAGCCCTATGCGTTCATGCCAATTTCTTTTAAAATCTGACCAAAATTACTCGAGTTATCGTCTCCAAAGACTATATATGTAAAAATGTTTACATAAAAATAGTGTTTTTAGCCTCTGGTGAGACCAAAATTGAATCAGTAATTTGGTCCCGGGTCTAGGTCTTACCTTGCCAACAACGGTAATAGCTATTTCCCTATAGGGAAAGTTCAGTCAAGTCTCGAAATTTCGGGAAATTTTAAATCTCGTTACACGAGACGAGATTTCTTTTTGGCCGAGATTTTTATTGAGACGATAATAAAAAAAAAAATTAAAAACGCCTGCAGAAAGTCAATGCAATACCCGCAATACAGGAGCGTGTTGTAGTTGCGTTTCCTTTGCGAAGGCGTTCTTATTTAATTAATTCTTTAAATGTAAATATCACTTTAATTATTTTAATAATATTACTTTAATGACATTTGAAAAGTTTTGTTAAGTGTAAGCAGTGTGAGGAATGTTTTATTACTATAAAAAGTCAAAACAAGTAACTATTTTATAGAAATTAATATTGCTTTTATTTTATGATTTATTTTATTTTAGGATAAGTTGAACTCTATCCTAACTAATATCACTATGTTTCCTAATCGTAGGCATTTTTAATAAGTTAGGCGTGATTAATAAAAAAATTTTATGCTGATGTTTTTTAATAAAAGATTGTAAATATCTATTATATTATTAAAGTGATACAATCAAATTTTATGTAAACGGTTAAGGCCATTTACCAAATAAAAATATAGGCATATGGCACATACAAATGAAGCTTAGAGTGTATAGATTTGCCGAAAAGTATTGATATGGACGAATTTCCTAAGGGCTCTGTCCCACAGGCTGATTTCCAAAGGGCTACGCCTGCCATGTTTCCTAAGTTTACATGATTTAATTTAATTTACTTAATGAAACAGCTGGTCAGTACAATGAATGGTGTTTGTTTATTTACTCGAAAAAGATGTTTGTGAAGCTTTATGTAGATTTAGGAGGGTTATGTTTGGTTTTAAAGAAAGTTTGTATACGTTTTGTATAGAATTGTGCAAAGTTTCATTTTGTAATTTATACAGTAAGCTGAATGTAAAGAGGCTTGACTAAAGTTGAAGAATTATGGTAAAACATGTCATTCGTGAAGCATCAATATGAAGCAATTTATGTTATTGCTACACTAAGGTATGTTGTCATATTCTTTTGGATCTATTAACATAAAAAGTAGGGGTTTGCAAGTAAGAAGGAACTTTTAAATCAGATATTTTCAAACTAAATCATAAAGTTGCCGTATTTTAAAACACACATCAGGATTACTTTAACCCTCCGAGTGTCCATAGTTTAGGCCTTAATGTCCACCTATTTTTGGCCCCTTTGCAAGGTTTTATTAAAACGGATCTGAGAAGCTTAAAACAATGTTAATTCTAATGTTCTATATACCATTTTGTTGGGAAAATCATGGGCTTCAATATTATATATAAAACATAAGGAACATTTTTTCAAAAAAAAAATTTTTAGGTAAAAAAAAAATATAATTTCGAAAATTTTCAAAAAAAAAAATAAGTTTGCGCTCAATGAAATTGTATAAATTATAGGCCTATAAATATTTGAAAATAGCCACTTTGTTCTAAATTTAATGAGGATTACAAATATATAATCATATAGCGAGGTAAGTTATCAAATAAATAAGTTATGAGCGAAAAACGGATTTCAGTACATAGCGTTTAGCTAAGAATGCATAGCCTAACCATAGCTAGGAATCTGGCTGATAATTTACATCAATATCACTACCTACTTCTTCAGGATCATCAACCAGCACTTCAAAACCACTTAAATCTTCTTATAATGCACCACGTATATCACTACTTTTGATTTTTAACACTAAAACAATGATAAACGTAATAAAACACATCAGTCATCGGTCCGGGGGAACCTAGCTGTTTACAAATACACGCACGTCAGCTGTCTGCTACAATATTTTCGGAACTAAAATGAATAGCGCTTAGAGACAGACCTCTGGAGAAAGCTTAGAATATTACGGAAAGAACGATACCTAACTCGATCCAGTTCAATCCGATTCAGTCAGTTATAGAGCCTTCGCCGTAAACGATGTTTGTGCGTCTTAAAAGCGACGCGTGACCCTACACAAAGTGTGTTGTGCGTCGTTTTTATGACGCGTGACACTCGGAGGGTTAATAGCTCTCTAGGTCACATTTTCTTCCCGTTGCAAAGCACGGGTATAGCAGCTTGTTCTTGCCTATTATCATTATTTTTGTATTTAAACAGTCATCTAACAATGTTACAAAATCAGGTAAAAATTTTGAACGTGCATTTCCCCGTTGTGTATGAGAAGGGAAATCCCGTCTCGATCTCGTCTCGAAATTTTATGAGAAATAAAAAATCTTGTCTCGTCTCGCCTCGAACTAAAAATCCAATCTCGTCCATCCCTACTAACAACTAAGGAGATTCATAATATAAGCCAAATTCTGAATCATCATGTACACAGAAAATAAGTTGAGATTGCAGAAGACAAAAAGATTCTGGAGGCAATTTGTTGACCTTGAATTTCAGTAAACAAAAGGATAAGTAAGGATCCCTAAGAAAAAAATACAAAGATTTGGACAGGTGATTAAATGTACGTTACTTATTTACAACGATTTTACCAAAACCTAATACAATTTGTTTTTGAAACTTATGGGGATAATAGTCTCAATCCAACCAAAGGTGTCATTTTGATTCTCTTAGTCTCCAACTGAGCTTAAAGGTTCAAATTCAAATTCAAATAGTTTATTGCCATTAAGTATACATGTCATACAATAGGCCAGGTCAATGGAGATAATATACAATTCAAAGTACAATGTACAGAGTCAAGTGTAAATAGATGAATATGCTATACTAATAAACTAATAACACTGGGTTTTTGTACAAAAGTATTTGAAATGTATTGATAATGATGGTAATAATACTGTTTATAGTTAAGCAAACAAGTTGGGTAAGTGCCTATGATAAAATAATCAAGGCTAAAATTGGCAGTGAGATACAGCTTAAAACTAAATTACAATAATTTTTTTAAATAAAGTTGACAGAAATAACATTACTATGAAAAACTATTATATCACAGTTCATGAAACCATTATTACATACTTTAGAAACAATGCCCTACTTAACAATTAGAATTTTACAGAAAATCATCATGTTTGAAAGATAAATTATAAAGATAAATTTTGTACATATTAACTTTTAAATTATGTTTTTATGTAATACTAGCTGTAACCCGCGGGCTTTGCCCCGTTTAACATCTTAATTTTCAAGATTATCTCGTTCGCATGGCTCAATCACGTCCTGGTTGAAGTTTGTTCGCTACGCTCACACACCTTAAGGTTGGAGCTCGTTCGCTACGCTCACTCACCTTTAGGTTGGAGCTCGTTCGCTACGCTCACTCACCTTTGGGTTGGAGCTCGTTCGCTGCGCTCACTTGCCTTCAGGTTAGCTCGTTCGCTACGCTAACTCGCCTCCAGGTTGAAGTTCGTTCGCTACGCTCACTCACCTTTTGGTTGCAAATTAGCTGTTGTCATAAATGTAAAAGAAATAATAGTGCTGCACCCTGTTGGTAATCCTTGTAACTTTAATGCTATTGAACATCGTAGAACAGAACCAACTTGTTTAATTGAAACAGCTATTAAGATTCAATAATTCCATTTCTCATAAGGTTAACATGGGAAACTCCAGAGCCACTGGGGCGGAGCCCGAAAGGATTTTTGAAATAAGAATATGCCTATATGTTAATCGGGAATGTGAGCTATCATCATGCCAAATTTCAGCCCAATCCGACCAGTATTTTTCGAGTTTACTTTTCCCATACACACATACACACATACAGCAACCACCTCTTTTTTATAATAGTATAGATAGATATAATTATTTTTAAGAAATGTAGTAAATGTTTTAATTAGACAATAAAAATCACTGTTTATCCACAATATACCAGATAGGTAGCAGATTTAGAACTCTTTTTCCGCACACGGGCTTACGCCTATGCGGAAAAATATATTTCTTTTTAATTTATATCTGTTTATTGTATTGTTTATATTTTGGAAATAAACGATTTGATAAAAATTCCTCGATAGAGTAGATAGGCCTAACCTTTCTGTTCAAAAAATCGGTCAATACATTTTTCAGTGACTTAATAGGCAAGTTGCGTACATTTTCAGGGAGGGCATTGAAAAGTTTGGGTTGTAAATATTTATAGCTGCGCTGTGTTGAGGCCAGTCTTAATGATGGTAACTCTAAATTATTCCTTAGTCTGGTGTAATAATTGTGAGTTAATGAGCGAGATGAGAATTGTTCAATATTTGTTTTTACAAAAATGATATTCTGCAAAATGTACACACTTGGTAAAATGAGAATTTTGTATTCAGGAAAAAAGGTCTTACAAACTAACTCTACTTTTTATGCCAGCTAGGATACGGATTGCTTTTTTCTGTTTTTTAAAAACGTTAACTGCCCCGCTACTACTGCCCCACAAAATTACCCCATAAACTAAGTGACAATGAAAGAATGCATAATAAACATTAATTAACATACATAAACTAACATGATTTTTTAACCTCCTGAGCAGAAACAAAGAGTTACTTAACCTTGCAACAACCATTTCAGTATGACTACCCCAAGATAACTGACTACAGTCTAATATGATTCCTAGCAGTTTAGCATTTGATACTTCAGATACAAGATTTGTCTGTGAAAAAAATAATTGAAACAGTTTTGTCATTGTTTACTGAAAATTTATTTGCCTTAAACCAACCGTGTGACCGGTGTGTGTACTGTGACCGTGTGTGTTCGGTTGGCAGTGTGACCGGTCAAAAACAAAAACCGATATACAGGGTGTCACACGAAGAGGTTTATATTTTTGAATGAATATACCAGACATGTTGAACATTATCATGAGTAAGCAGTAAGATTAGCTATGATTTTTATGGGAAAAATCGCTAAAGTTGCACTTTAAAACTTTTGAACCACAGTTTTTACAACAATTAGGGTTGTAACATTTTGTTTAAAGTTAAAAGAACTGTAACATATTAAATCTCCATCAAAACCAGCTGAGCCGTTTTTTTGGAAATCCGATTATTACGTTATTTTATAGGTTTTTGTGTAAAACACACAATGAAAAATTGTTTAAACATTTATAGTGATACCATGGATTAGTAGGTACCTACTACCTACATAACAAATTTCATCAAAATTGAACCACAGTTGTTGTCTGTAGTTATGTAGCCAACATCCACACAGACATGTTTTTGAAAAAAACTTTTTTAAGTTCAGGAAGATTCAAAACACCCCTTTTTAGTGATTATGGAGATATTGCCACCAAAATTCTAGGGGGAGAAACTAATAAGACATTTTTAAATAACCCCCATTGGATACTTCACCAATGGGTTTTGATAACTCATCATTATCATCAATTGAGAAGGGAAATTTGAAAAATTTACAACTACATGCAAGATTTTTTAACACACCTCCGTACAGGTAAGCGTGTATCTCGTTGGCTGAGAGATACAGAGCTTCTCCAGGCCTCAGCTTCATGTAGTTGAACAAATAAGGTCCAAACACTCCTATATCACCAGGGAACTGCCCGTGCAGTCTTTCTACCAGGTCTGCTAAGTGGGAGTCTCTTGACGACTCCTCTGTAACAGAGAGACTTTGTAAAACAAAAGGCACTGGCACTAAAATAATTTAATTCATAAGATTCTCCTTAACCCCCAAAGCCTAAGGATAGGAAGGAATTTGGAAATAGAAGCCAAATGATATATATCAGCCATCAAGAATAACATACCATAACAAAACCTTTAGCCTAACTTTACAGCTATTTATGCGAGCATGACTCAACTAAATTGGTTTGTTAACCAAGTTTTTTTTCTTATTCCTGAAAACCAGAATAGAGTAAAACATGAGTGAAATTTTTAGAAAAACCTTTTTATGTTTGAGGGCTGACTTGTCAATACAATAAACCATAGCTATACTGGTTAGGTGGTTATTACATTTATCAGTAACAAAGATAGGTTTGTGGTAAAAGAAAAGGTAGCCTATTCTTGGTAAAGAGCTTTGCTTTGGACAAAAATAAGTTTGTGTCTTCACACTTAACATTTATACATTTATCTGGAGGAATTGTCTGAATTATATTACATTTTGTGCACTTTAAAAAAATGGATTAGGCTATCCTTAACACGTTTGCAGCGGTCGTCAATGGCCGGCCGCAACCCGGTGGCAGCAGCAGCCAATGCCCTGCGAAGATGAGTGCATAAAATTGTTTAAATTTAGTTTCGTCCAATAGGAGAAACATATTTAACATGTACTGCGTTTCAGTTGTTTTGGAAGTAGTTTTACAAGAAAAGAACCCAACAGATAGCAGCACTAAACAGTAGGCTCTCAGTATGTCCAAAAATGGAGGGAAAAAGCAGGGATGAAAAATCTATATAGACCATAGAAAAATATCGCAAAAAGGCATCAAGCGTAATTTTAAGGTTCTAGGTTTTTTCCCCATGCGTCACTAGGCCTACAGTAGTTTTATAATTATTCCATTCCATTTCACTAAATCCAAGCCAAAATCCCAAACTACACTGAATTTGAAACAATCCCTTACAAAGACAAAATTGTCGTATCTGAAACGAATTATATTAAATCAAGTTGAAAACTGGCACAATACGCAGCAATCGTAAACAACGATCACCATGCGAGGCTGAGCTCACACTGAAGCAAGGTTGTTACAACATTTCCTGCCCCGTGCCAGTGGTGCCGTTGCGGCTGGACGATAATTCCCGACTAACACACTGAACGTGTTAAGAAAAAGATTTATTGTGTGTTTGATGGTTTAACTCTAAAATTAATCAATTCTCTAGACCAAAACCAAAAGGTAACTTAATTTTTGTATGGATTAGTTAAATACTGCAGTACACCATCCCCTGTTCTTCCATAGAGTAATTTCGGGGTAGTGAGGATCTTTTAAGTAAAGAAAATACTGATGCAGCGATGACATTCTGTAACATCCAGTGAGGATTAACGTCCGTACTAGTGAGTACTACGACTATCCGCAGTATTATCCTGATAATTAGACCAATTCGTTAATACCAAGGCAAAAATGTGGTTCGGATTCCACTATAAACTGTAGGTCCCTTAGTTGCCATTCGCTGTATGGGCTATTAATTAACAGCTGTGTCTAAGGAATGTCGGCCTTAGTCACTAACAAGACTACAAGATCACGCCACTCATCCTACACTCATCTCCATTCATACTTGGCTTAAAATACCTACTATGTATGGTCGCCATTTCATCAAACAGTATTAACAGTATTAACAAGCCAATTTAAGTTGAAACCCCTTTAAACATTAAATAAATACCCTACCAACGGTGAATTAAAATAACTTATACAACAACAAAAAATATTATAACCAGAGGTATACCAGCCAGAGATTTTTGGCCCACAGTTGTGAAGACATCATCGTCTTTAGCGATCACACAAAATCATGAATATCTTTCTCAGTCATGGAAACGTCATCACTGTCTCATCTGCGTTATTGGCAAAATCTTAAATATTGCTCAGTGGTAAGGTAACACAAAAAGTTATAATCTTCTTCTGCTACCAAGTTCACTCCCAGTTGTGTAGACATCATTATTGCCTCCCACATTGGACATTATCATCGTCTTACACTACAGGATTAGGCTACAGCAAAATTATGAAATTTTTCCGCAGTTTGTGAAGACATTGTCATGGTGTCCTTGGGTCACAGAAAAATCCTGAATATCGCTCAGCAGTAACAGAAATGTTATCATCGTCTTCTGTGATCGCAAAAATATTCTGATCTGGGGTCGTTTAGGCACCATGATTGTCTTCCATGGTCACGGAAATGACATCAGCATCATGCATGATCACGGCAAAACCAGTAATCTTACGTCCAAAAGATCTTCATAAACATGTTGGGTTTTGGTATCAATCTCCTTATCGAAATTTGACGATTGATCCTCTTGACATTGATACAAATTTCTAAGCAGGCATATAGGTGGTATAAAAGATCAACTAGGCCACCTCTAATTTACATGCCAAGACTAATTTAATAATAATAGGAGGAGAGACCTCACAAAGAAGACCCAGGTCACAGAAAAGTGATTTGCAATTATTTCTATAGTTAGGCTATTTACTACCCTGCGTGTACCTTGGTACTTTTAATTTGCACTAAATCACTTACCAAGAGATGAAATCCTGTTTGACAGTGATGAAAGTGCAGATTGTACTTCATCTTCTGATTTGGTCATAAGTGATTGGAAACAGACTTTAAGAGCGTCTTGCTGACGGTCTTCACTGCATGTCATCAACACGTCAACATTGTCCTGTCCCATGCAACTTCTCAGTTCGGGAATACCTGAGGGGAAGTCCACGAGAAGATTTACTTATTCTTTGTCAATTGTAGTAGAGGGTAGGAAAAACTCCTTTAATTCCTAGGTATGAATGACTGGTACTAGAAAGTATTCTAGACGTATTTAGACATAATTACTGCATTGCACTAAGGATTGTTTGTTAATTTAACAGATAGGTAGCCTAAATTTTTACCACCATGCAAAAATGTAGGCCTAATGCGATTTAACTTAAAAACGTTTTCCAAAAGGGAAATTTTCAGTACTATTTCAATGGTAAATTTGATCATAAAAACACATTTAGTAAGTTTAGAGCTTGAGTATGAGACATTAATTTTATTATTAAACTCTAGAAGTTGAGGATGCTGGTATGAGTATAGGTATGTTAACTTACGGTCCAAGAACTGCTTGATTTCATCCAATGGACGAAAGCCACAAAGAGCTTCAAAATCAGTCAAAGCAACTGCCATTTCAGGTTTGTGATTTGGATCTTTGTAGATGTCTGGAAAGAGTTGATGCAACTCCTCCGCCTCCCACTAAATATCAAAAGGCAGTATAAATTGTTAATCAGAACAATGAACAAGGCAAAAATAATTGTAGGCTACATTGGCTTGATGAAAGCAAAATTGGATAAATCAAGGAACACATTTGTCTACAGCTGTATGAACATGTAGGTTTATTGTTCCTGCTTCTTCTTCCCTGCTCCAACAATTGATTTAATGCGCAAAAGCATTTACGAAAAGAAGGTTTATTTGCAAACAAAATAATACCCATCGTGGATGGGACAGTGACAGCGAGGGACACACACCATATGGACAGTTTTTCAGGTTTTTCAACCCATGCTTTGCCTTCAATAAATTTAGCAGTTCAGTGCAATTCACTAGGAAATAATGTAACTGATGGTAAATCCACTTCAACTGATACAAGTAATGTACCTTTTTTAGAAAATGTAGTAAAACCCGTAGTAAATGCAAGTTGAAACAATGTAATAGAAAAAAATAATGATAGTCCTTTAGATACTGTTTGTTTTAAAGATAATAAAAATGTTTGGTTGATGCATTTTAACATACAGGGTGGTATAACATTCAAGATTAATATGTTAAAAATTTTTTTAGAAAATACAAACATTGATATTGTGTGCTTAAATGAGCATTTTCTGGATACAGCTAATGTTAACCTCCTGAATACATTGGTAAATTATAAACTAGCAACATACTTTTGTAGATCACAGGGTACTCATGGTGGTACATGTATTCTTATTCGGCATAATTTAGCTTTTTTAAACAGAGATGATTTAAATATTTATTTTGAAGAAGCTGTGTTTGAGGGTTGTGCAATAGAAATACCTAGCCTAAGAAGTATTGTAATATCATTATATCGTACACCAGATAGGGCTAATATTAACAATTTTCTCTGTAAATTAGAAGCTTTGCTATTGTTGCTAAGAAAAGAACTAAAAAAAAAAAACAAATTTATATCGCTGGAGATTTTAACATTAGATAACTGTAGGTACCCTACTCACAAAGATTCGTTTCTTAACATAATTAGGCAATTTGGATTTAAGGAAACTTTTTTTGAGCCAACACGGATAACACCTACAACTAATACCTGTATAGATAATGTATTAATTAATATGAGAGTTGAACAACACCAAACTTTAAATATGGAATTAGGAGTATCTGACCACAGAGCTTTATTTATTACATTAGATAGTAATATTGAATTTAGTGGTGACTCTGTTGATTTTAAGAAACTAAGCTATAGTAGGTCTTTTTCAGCCAAAAAAATTTATCAGTTTATGGCTACTTTAAATGAGGAAAATTGGAATTTTAGTGAAAATAATTCAGTTCAATGTAATTTTAATGATTTTTTTTCTAGATTTAAGATGATTTTCGAGAACCATTTTCCACTAAAAACTTGTAAAGCAGGACACCGAAAAAACAACAGAAAAAAATGGGTAAATTCAGAGATTAGAGAATTAAGTGTTAGAAACAGAGAATTGCAAGCCTTAGCAAAACAATCTGATAACCATGCCTTTAAAGAGTATTGTAAAGTTTTTAAGAAAAATTTCAAAGCTGTCTGTTCTAGGGCGAAAAGAAATGCAAACACCTCTTTTATAGAGAAAGCAGACGATAAAAGTAAGGCAGTGTGGTCAGTTGTTAATGGAGAATTAGGTTTAAAGGCAACTCAAGAAAATAGCTTTTCAGACATTGTTTTCCAAAATAAGTGTTTAAAAGATGGAAATAAAATAGCTGATATTTTTAACAATAAATTTACTGACATTTGTTTAGAGAATGAGATTTCACCATCAAGGGAAATGGCAGTTAGATTTGCAATGAAAAATAATGAGTGGAGTCAAAGTTTACCAGTTTTTCACTTCAGTCCAGTAGATGAAAACCATGTTAATAAAATAATCAAATCATTGAAGAACAAGCGATCTTCAGGATGGGATGAGGTTCCTTTGTTTTTATTGAAAAAGATTGCCAATCAAGTTTCAAAACCATTAACAAACATTATAAATCAGTCACTCATTTCTGGAATATTACCTTACCAAATTAAATATGCAGAAATAAAACCATTGTTTAAAAAAGGAAGTAAATTGGATATTGACAATTATCGGCCAGTGTCCTTGCTTCCTGCATTTTCAAAGGTTTTTGAAAAAATAGCTAATAAACAAATCTTATCATTTTTTGAAGACAATAATTTATTTATCAAGGAACAATATGGATTTAGAGAAAATAAGAGCACAGTTTTAGCGATAGCAGATTTAATCAGGTGTGTATCGGAGGGCTTGGATGGATCGCAGACCACAGCTGGTGTGTTCTGCGATCTATCCAGGGCTTTTGACTGTGTGGTACACGATATTCTTCTTGATAAGTTAAAAGTTTACAACTTCTCTTCTTCCGCATTATCTTGGGTTAAGTGTTACCTATCTGGTAGACACCACAGAACTGTTATAAAAAAAAATGACATGGTTTTTAAATCTGAATGGAGGAAAGGAACGCGGGGTTGCCCCAGGGCTCAATTCTTGGTCCTATTCTGTTTTTAATCTATATAAACGATTTAGCAAAAAATTTTGATTTCAAAATTGTTCTGTATGCAGATGATGCTACAGCCATTCTTAAATCAAACAACATTTTAGATTTACAGCAAATTATTCAGAATTCCCTAACAGATTTGCAAGTGTGGTTCAAGGCCAATGGTCTTAAATTAAATAGTAGCAAAACTAATGTAATCAATTTTAGCACTACACGAAGACAGGAACAAAATCTTAATCAAATAATATTAAATGATGATCACCTTCCTATTGTAAAGTCAACAAAGTTTTTGGGTCTCGAGGTTGATGAAAAACTAAACTGGAAAACATATATTGGTATTTTGAAAAAAAAATTAAATTCCCTTTGTTTTCAAATGTTTGTTCTGCAAAAAATTACTGACTTACAGACGAGATTGATTGTATATCATGCATTGTTCGCTTCTTCAATGCAGTATGGTGTTGAACTTTGGGGAGGTAGTTCAGGTATGGAATCTGTTTTTAAATTACAAAAAAAGTATCTTAGAATCATGACAAATTCTAAACCTAGAACATCCTGTAAATCTATTTTTTTAGGGAACTCAAAATTTTAACACTACCATCTATGTACATTAGTAAATGTCTGTTTTATGTCAAATCTAACTTTAATATGTTAATGGAAGATCAACACATTCACAATTATCAGACTAGGAACAGAAGTGATTTCCAGTTTCCTGTTCATAGATTAAGTTCCTTTGAAAAGTTGCCACAGTATTTTGGTAAAAAATTATATAATATAGTGATGGGCCGATTCCGATTCTCGATTCCAAAATACTCTCGATTCCGCCGGAATCGAATCGAGCATTCGATTCGAATCTCCGTGGGTTTGGGATCGATTCCGACTCTCTTCGATTCTTTGATAAAATTGGTTAAAATAAGCCATAAACGTCATATAAAGCAACAAAGAAACAAAATAAATTCAGATTGCTAATGATTTGCTTGCAACTCTGAGCAAACAACAAGTCCTGGTCGTATCGTCACTAACTCAGCGAGACTAGAGCGAGCGTATTGCAAAAATAATAGATGCGAACTCAATACAGATAGTAGCCTACAATGAGAAACAGTTAACAGATGGGAATTGGAGATTCGGGCAAACTGGACTGGAGCGAGTAAGCATTGCGTCACAGCTCACAAGACATACAAGGAAAGGGATGAGCATCGATTTAGATCAACCAGTGGTACCAAGGCTACTAACCACGAATACTAGAAAAGTAGAAAAATACCGGTATGGATCATAAACATAAACAAATGACATTTTTGGCCCGAAAATACACATTATTTCACATTGCTTAAATTGAACTGCCAAAACATTTGTTCAACGCTATTCGTAGAGGATTCGGGCCGACAACGTCATTTGTTTATGTTTATGATCCATACCGGTATTTTTCTAGTATTGGTGCTACTAACTGAATCATTGCATCGCTACATCGATCTTATCAGTAACCGATAACATCGTTGTGAAAACATCGATGTTTTTGGGACTAAGACATAGATTTTTTTCTTCAATTTTTCGTCTGGTCTCTGTACTCTCCAGTAACGGAAAGCATCGATATCTCAATTACACTTGGTCAAAAACATCGATGTGAAAAACAACGAAAATCTATAGAAAAACATCGGTGATGCGAAAACGTCTACTATCGATGCTCATCCCTAAACAGAGCTGAGCTACCATTCATTACCAAAGTATAACCAAACACTTCGTATTCGGTCCCGAAACGTCACTACTCAACGAGACTAGAGCGAGCGTCCTATAGCCTAAAAGCGACTTTGGGCTTGGGCTTGGGAATATAATTTTGTACAGTGAATTGGAAGGTTTTAACTACCTATAAATGTTCAAGTGCGCGAAATTGTAAATAAACTTGTTTAGTGTTGCAATCAACGGGTAAATCTTCGAACACTGGGTATTTTAATGGCCGATAGGCAGAGTAGTTTTGCAGGTTCCGTTATTGTCTGCCAACAGTGGCAACACTGATAAAGTGAAAAATACTTAAATGCTAAAATGCTCCAGTACGGACGGCATCAACAAATCGTATTGTTGTGAAATAGTAACTTTTCAATTTGTAAGATCAACTTTAACCCCAAAAGTAAAACGTATTGAGCTTGCCTTGTTTTTAGTTATCGTGATTGTTAGTTTGTATTATTGTTAGGTTTAACTTATTTGGACAAACAAAAATCATGTCTAGAAGGAAACTAGTTTGTTTCAACTAGGCCTACTCCTAGAAGTTTATATAAGGTTAGGTTAGTTTGTATATAAATTAAAAATCAAGAATTGGATAGGGGCTGATTTTTTATAATGATAATGAATGATTTTTTATAGTACATATAAAAGTTATTTTATAATATTCTATGGCTAGTATTTTACAATAACCTTGTAAATGTGTATTGAATGTGTGACATTCTAAATTCTACATATAGATAACATGCTTGGTAAGCTTGTACTGATTTCACAATTTTAAACACATT